CTAGGACAACCTTGCCAGGGACAGGCCAGGACTTCATGGCCACCATGACAAGCATAAGGCTGCCCCAAGTTATAGTTGGTCTAGCACATGAATCAGAACATACTCTATGTTTCCCTGTTGCACAGGAGAATAATGACCTGACCAGGAGAAGGAGATGTCTGTCTGGTCCCAAAAGAGAGTGGTTCTTGCTTCTTTTGAGTTCCTAATCTGACAGCTCCTGAAGAAACCTAGACAATATGAACTACTGTAGGCCAGTGCCTAAGCTTCCTTTCTTGGCAAGGTGGCAGAGCAAAGATAGGGGTGTAATAGGCAAGGTGGAAGAATGATGCCAATATGGAAAAGTGCAGTAAAGGGCAACTAAAATGATCATGGCACTGCACAACTCCCCTATAAGGAAAAGTTACAATATCTGGGACTGTTTGCCTCAGAAATGTGATGCGTCAGCACACATTTATGTGTGAGGGAACAAAACCCAGAATTTGTGGTATAAAACTAACACAAAACTTTGCCATGGTGTTGGAAGTAATGTAAAAATATCAATTTTTAGCATTCATCAGTTTCCACCGATAAGTATATGATTTTTGATTGTGGCACAAAAAACTGAATTTGTGGCACTAGACTTTAGTAAAGGTTTGACAACATTTGTGAGAGAGAAAGAGAGAGAGGTATAAACCAAGATTGGAACAGTACACACACCCATGAGCACCGGTACCTAAACAGCACAAAACATTTGTACAGTACTAGTTTGTGGTGGTTTGTATTAACAGAGCACCTCAAAAAGGACTGCAGTCACCTTTCTCTTTGTCATTGAGTGGTGAGATCAGCGGTTAAACCCAGCTTTCTGTGATCATAGGCTCCCGCCTTGATTTTATGGACAAGAAAGGATGAACTTATAGAAATCTATTTAATAAATGTTAAAGCAGAAAAAAAGTGGTTGGAAGAGGGCATGCTGGTAAACAAAAGCAATTTTGGGAAGTGCTTTTAAAAAAGTTGATCTCTGGCTATGGAAGTGTAAGGAAGAAAAACTGGCAGTGCAACACTCTACACGGCTATGTAATGGTAATGGGTCCCACCAGTCCAAAGGGAATTGTTTCCAGGTAAGTGAGCAGAGGAGGAGAGTTGGGAGGAGCCAGATCCACTGAGCACATCAGCAGAAGTACTACAGCCACTTCCAAAAGTAGCCTGCATTTGTGCAAGTGTCTTCTAATTCCTCTGGGAAAGGGACGCCTAGCAGTGATACCCCTTCCATACATTCCTGACCAAGCTGGGGAAAGGAAGACCCTGCTGAGCAGGATCAACAGCTGTGCTGGGGCAATGCAGTGCAAGGTAAGGCTGCGAGGCGAAGACAGGAAAGGGATCACTTCCATGGCAGAGTTGTACCAAAGTGGCTCCAAAAGATAATTTGGAAACCAATTCAAAGCAAGTCCATCCTGCAAGTATTTTGAGAAGATAATGCTGCTCTTTGCTTTTTGGATATGTATGTATGTATGTATGTATGTAAAAATTTGTATGCCACCCAATTGTGCCATAGCAATTCAGGGTGGCTCACAGTCATAAAATAAAACCCAATAAAATACAATGTTCATAAAATATGGAGAAAAATACAAAACAAAGGTCAAGTTAACTATTAAGTATTAATTTTTTTTTTAAAAAAGGAGGTCTTTACCTGGCACTGAAAATAATATAGGGAAGGCGCCAGGCGAATCTCCTTGGAGAGAACATTGTACAATCCTGAGTACATCAACCCAGAAGTAAATCTCATTGAGCCTGATGGGACCTACTCCCAGCTAACTAGTTTTGCAATAACCAATGGGAACATCTCTGAAATATGCTTTCTGGTGGGCAATTTTGTTTGTGTAAAGGTGTCCATAGATTGGTTTACTGTTTCTATATCACAGCCACCCAAATACACAAATGCTCATTTGGTATATTTCCACTGTTTGCTCTATACATGTTATTGGCAAGTAGTAAATAAACTTTAGGGGAAATTGGTGAGGTTTGGCTTTTACAAAGTCTTCGCCTTATTCATAGGAGGGTTGATTGTATTTCTTGCTGCTACAGACCAGATGAGTGTGTGTACATGCTTACCAATGAAGGATATAATTTCATCAAATGGATGGATCCTAATTCACAAAATCTTATGCTATAATAATTCTGTTTATCCTTTACGATTCTTCAAGATGTTTCGTAGCTTATGGCCAGAACAGTCATGGGGACTCCCTAGAACCAGAAATCAGGATAACTGGTGTTCTCATGTTCTTCTCACCTTTCTGCCCTGAGGATGAGAGCTTAATGTAGCCTGTTGGGGAAAATGGGGTCACACTTGTGGGTGGCATGGCCCCTGCCTCTGCTGAGTCAGGCAGCAGGCTCTGAGTCATCCATCACTGTGAAAGAAGAGATCCCAAGCGTAGGAAAGTGGTCCTTGCCTGGAAGCAGCCACCCACACTTTTTGCATCCTTGGCATTTGTGTACTCAGAGCAAAGCACTTTAGCTTTCTCCTGGTTAGAAGGAAATTAATGTGTGTATAGTTCACAGAAAGAGGTGAGACTCTCACTGGACACCTTTGTGGGAATGCCCCACTGAATTCAGTGGGATTTCATTGTTATGGTCCATCAAGTTGCTTCCAACTTAGGCTGACCCTATGAACACCTTCCAGAATGTCCCACCCTTCACAGCCCTGCTCAGCTCTTGTAAACTCAAGGCATGGTAGCTTTAGCAGTATAAACTTTCCATATTTACTCAAGAGAATTCAATAGGATTCATTTCCAAGCAAATGTGATAGGATTGCAATTGAGACCAAACTGATGCTTTGGCATAAATATGCAACATGAGATGGAAGTGTGCCCCTTTCTGTTTTTTCTCCCTAATTGAAGTATTATTACAATTTTGAATGATTCCAATAAAGTAATATTCAGAACAACAGTAGAGGGGAGAGTTAAAATAGGGGAGGGGGCATGAATCAAAGGTTTGGATCATACAGTTATGATCTGTATGATGAGCACTATGATGCTCCAAACAGTGGGAGGTTCCATGAATGTAGCACCTTTCTGAGTTTGGTTGCCAACAGGGGTTGGCAACTTGTGGCCTTCCAGAGGTGTTGGCCACAACATTCATCAAGTCTTCAGTGTCGGCTGTCCTGATTAGAGCTAATGGAAGTTGTAAGTCAAAACATCTGGGAGGCCAACAAATTTTCTGCCCTTTTACAGAGGGAGGTGATAGGAAGCTTATGGAGCTCTGTATTGTTACAAATATACAGATTGAGCATATGTGGAGGTTTGGCTTGAACACTCCAACTAGCTGCCAAGAATCCATTTAGGGTCTCCATGAAAAAAGCCACATCTTAAGCTACAGCTGGCTTTTCGAAGTCCAAAGCTCAATCACCTTCAAATGTTCTTTTCACTGAGTTCTTGCACACACCATCCTTGGTATGCTGGAAAAGTTTGGGAGGGATACAACTTACCAAGCAACACTTGAAAATAATAAGAGATTGGATACTTTTTAATCTTTTTCTTTATGCAGCAAATATTAATCATTGAGTTGCCTTAAGCGTATGTTGTCATAATGAAATTGCCTAGATAAATAGTTCTATTATACAGTACACAAAGTTTACTGCTTTCGCTTGAGGGGACACTCTTGTAAGATATGATTCTACTCTGAAATAAGTGACATTTCTGCATTATATTTGGTATGTTTGTTCAGAGTGAAACTCAATTCAGGACATCATGTTTTCATACTACATGACTAAGGTACAGCAAGCCTTTAGCTCACATGATTCCAGCCTTTCCTTTTGTAGCCGCAATGAGCTCATCTGTTTTTTTTTTTTTTAACAAACCACAGTTCCTCATTACGTCTAAACTCAGAGAGCTGTGATTTGTTAAACTGCAGTTGGTGAACAAGGCAAGAGCTGAAATAATGGATGCCATCTCTGTGTTGTCCACTCAGGTTGAAAGTGTTGTTTAGTCTTCAATCCATTGCATTATAGGAAGCAAGTTTTTATCTTTCTTTTTTAGCTGACAGAAGGACACACAAAATCCATTTAAATCAATCAAGCTTCAGCTTATGAGAAACAGGAAGACCATATAAAAGCACATGTATATCAGGAAGTATTAAAATATTCTAATAGAAAATGTATCCATATTATAACTTCAACCCAGAAAGAGACAAGTGCTGGACATTGCCAAAACCTATGATTAAAGGTAGCAATAACAGTATTCCACCTCCAGCAGTTAGACAAAATCTTATTAATAAGACATTGTACTATCCAGTAGACACAAAACACAATATTTTGTTGAATAAAACAAATCTGGATTCTATCAAATGTTGCAGTTGTAAAAATTGCCATGGGTCTGCTGCAGGCAAATTGTATTTGGTAGTCAAATCTGGAAATAGTAAGAACTTAAGATCTTTCCTCAGCTTGTTCATTCAAGACATTTTGTCCCCCAATCCTTAAATAGGGATTTTGCCATGAGGTCAATTTAGCACAACTGTAATTGATGTAATATGGTTTGCCACATGTCTCCAATTATTCTATGAGCAGGAGGAACTTTATCCATTCTAATATGCCAGAAGCCTCATGCTAACCACTCCAATGGAGGATTCCAAACCAAGCCATGGTGAAAAATCTAATCTAAACTGAAAAGACCATGAGTTGTACAGGTGAGCAAATAGGCCTCAGCAGTATAATACAAGATTTGGAGTGCTAAATCCACTTTCTTTAAACAGAAAATAGTTTTCTGAGGTTTTGTGGTAAAGAGGGACACCCCCCACAAATTATGTAACAAAGAGTTAAGCTGAATACATATGGGAGCTAATTACAGCTAAATAGGTATAGATTGCAGTGCTATTTGATACCAAAATCTCAATTCCAGTGCTGTTGTGGCAGCTCCCACCTTAGAGAGTGAAGCCTTTCTATTCAAAGGGCTGAGTATGGACCATTTGTTGGCAAACAATGTGCACTGTGCCATTTTAACCTTTGGGCATCTCTCTTGTTGTTGTAACAGGTTCTTGTAGTTTCTTTGGTGGTTGTAGCTCTTGGACTTGGTTTAGGACTCGGACTGAGGAAAACAGTGCAACCACAAGGTAGGTTTATACTTTTTATAAAGTGGTCAGAATGCCAAAAGGAGGAAGAAGTATGTCTTAGGCTTGTTGTCACTGAGAGGGTAACTAGTGCCTGGGAGGGAGCACTTTGGAGATCAGTGCTTTCTGGTGGCTACTTAACTTCTCCAGAAAGGAAGAAAGGCAACCTCAATTTACACACATTTATATAAAATCTGCACATGCTAATTTTATGTATTATTGCAAATCTAGAAACAATTACTGCAATTTAAACAGAAATGCATCCTGTTTCCTCCATGAGAAAGTCTAGACTGAGTGACCTGCCCTGCTCAGTCTGATGTCCACATGCTGACTGCTGATGGACCTGTTCAAGGAATGTGTTCTACCCTCAGCTGGTCCTTGATATTGTTATGCTGGGCTTGGACTGGGCAGCCCACGAGGAGAGGATCTCTTTAAAGAGAAAAAGGTCTTTCTCTTGGAGGACACATGGCCATCCTTCCAACAGGGGCTCACACAGATGAATTCTCGGGCATTGAGTTCATTAAGAAGGCTGGGGGTGTAAGAAGGGACTCTTACCATTAGATCCAGGCATACCTAACCTGCTATGGATTGCATTTTATATTTAGACATAGTGCAATGGTGAAGAATGCCGGGCATATTACACTTCAAAGAGGGCTTGGACCATTATTTCTTATCACAGCCAGTGTATGACTCTGCACTTGTTTACTCATTGGATTGTGGCAGGTTCAGTTATGGGATGTATCGTAGCAGCAGCACTGAGTAGTAGATACCGAGAGCTCAGAACAATCTGGAATGTTAAAGGGTTCCACGTTTTGCTTTGTGTATGCTCAGAGACTTACAAGTAAAATAAAGATGTTTGGCAAGAAGCGCTGGTGAGTCTGTTACTGCTGGGAGGGAGAACTCAGCTCACAACAGAGAAGTCATTCTTGCAACCTGCATGATTCATTTCTGCCCTGGCCCTGGGGACTGTGCTGAGAGGTTGGAACCATTTTACAACCTCATAGCTGGGTTTCCAAAAAGTCCAGTGGCTTTCTAAATACTGTTTAGTGGTCACAGGATCGCACTGTTAGAGTGGTAGCACCAAAACAACAAAACCCTAAGAAAAAAGGTGAATAGGATATATAGTGAAATTGTCCTCTCAGTTTATTTGCCCACAAATAATGCAGTGAATTTGTGTGCAGTTCTAAATTTCTACCCAATGTCAACAGCAATACAACAAATGACTTTAAAGTAAAAGGAGGTCCACACAAAATGATTATAGAATGTTATGTTCATAAAGCATTATGCCAGGGTAAATGTGCAGGTGAAATTAAATCATCCTTGAAAGGCCAGTGCAAAAAGTATGACGACTAAGATCATTGTATAATTCATGCATGACGGGTTGTCCTTCCGATCTAAAGATAACAGCTCCAAATTCTCAGTCTCCCAGGCTGATCTTAAAAGACCTTTTAACATCCTTGAAGATATCTCTTGGAAATTAACATTCACATTATTCCCCCTAAAAGTAGAATACATGATTCCCTCATGTGCTGACAGAACTGGATCCAAAAAAGGGACACTGAGAAACCAGTGGAAGGTATCAGGATGTCCAGAGATTTGCAGAAGTAAATGAAAAAAAAAAAACAAATCAAAAACAACCTAAGAAGGCAACTCTTTGAAAGAGACTGAGCATTCTCAGGAGTTGGGGGATTTGGCGTGTCACTTGAAAGAGGAAAGTCGGAAATGACTGGTGAGGGGAGCGCCATGCCTGTTGTAGGGCACAACAGAGTGGTGGGCTAGAACCCTGAACGCCTGTTACAGATGATCACGTGCTTCACGTACCTGAAGGAGCACCTCTTCCCTCACATGCCCTCATGTCCCTTAAGCTCTGTGGGAGAGGCTTTGCTCTGGGAGCCCTCTTTAAAGGAGATAAAAAGAACAACTACCCAGAGCAGGGCCTTCTCTGCGGTGGCACCTAAATGATGGAATGCGCTTCCTGGAGAGGTGTGCCTGGCACTGAGTTTATATTCATTTTTTTATTTAATTGCTATTTTAAAAATTAATATTTTATCATTAACCGTCGCTTTTTGTTTTTGTTTTTATATAATTTTATGGAAATGTTATTGTTTTATTGGTTTTAATCGTACATTTGTAAGCCATCTCGAGATGCCGAGGCATGTGGTGACGGCATATAAAAGTTTTAAATAAATAAATACTTGTTGTCCATAATGATAGACCTGTGGTAGGCCCCAGCTGAGTGTCCACTGTGAGCCACGGTCAATGACTGGGTTCAAATGCCAGAACAACCTATTGTGGATGATAAGAACTTGAACCAAATGAACCTGGACCAACTCCCTCAGGGTCACCTGTTCACAGGTAGCAAGACACCTGATGATCCAGGACCTGACAACAACCCCCTTGCCACTCTTGTCAGGCCATCACCGCTGTTGCTCACCCCCACAAGTACCCAGGTGGCACTTGGCTCATCAGGCACTGGTTGAGCGTCTATCCTGTTGAACCCTTTCCCTTCGCTGCAGCTCTCCACCCCGCTGTAATTATGTTTCTCCCTGAAAAACACAACGTTCAGATTGACAGCTGTTTTCTGAGATAACCATTTTGACAGCCATGCTTAGGATTAATAAGCATTATCTAAGTTTGTGTCATGAACACCCAGGGGCAGGGGATAGATGTAACTGGCACACCATCTTTCTGTGTCCCTAGTGCTACGTGCAAAGTATATGAGGTCCATAAACAGGTGGAACTGCTGTCTCCCATCATATAGGTGATGCACATGAACAAAGACACTGATATGTTATGTCTCTGAATGTCTGCAGTTGCCTTTGTGGTTCATAGGTGTAGCTTACTGGGGAAAGTCAGAGTTCCTCTGGCCTGCCAAGCTTTGAGCTCCCCTTCCCAAGCCCCAAAGTCTGGCCTGCAAACCCCATTGGGCAGGAGGCAAGGAGAGGAATTCTCAACACTGCAGAATTCTCAGCTTGGTGGAAACTGTCCTATACCCTTGGCTTTTTTGTTGCATAGTCCTTGAAAATGCAGAAATATCTGTACAGAGTCCACATAATGACCACCAATTGGGTTAACCTTAAAAGGCGGGTTGAACAAATCTGTGAAAGATCAGGCTATCAGTGGCTACTGGTTCTGCTGGCTGTATGCTGCCTCCTGTATCAAAGGCAGTGTGCCTGCAGACACTAGCTGCTGAGGAGTTTGGGTGTTGCACTCATGCCCTCTTTGGGGCATGGCCACTGTGTGAACAGAATGCTGGACTGGATGGATCCTTGGCCTGGATGGATCTGGCACGACTCTTCTTGCACTCTTAATTCCTACTTAGTTATCTCTGGTTCTTCTTCCAGTGAGTTGCAGGCGCAGATGCAATGAGACGTTCAGTAAAGAGATAGAGGACGCAGGCTGCAGTTGTGACGACAAATGTTCAGAACGTGGCACTTGCTGCTGGGATTATTACAGTACCTGTGTTGTACCAAGTAAGTTTCATCTTTCTGTCTATCTTCCTTCTAGACCGAACCACAGTTCGCAAAAGCATAAGGTGGGCGCCCTGTGCAAGAGCAATGGGTAGTATTGGTCAACGGAGCAGAAAGTGGATCCTTGCCTTTTGTAGTGCAAGGCCATGCGTGTCTTGGTTGGCCAAAGGGGCTGAACAGCCTTGACGCTTTCTCATCAGTTGCATCAAATGGATGGGAAAAATGCTTACATGGCGTTTCCAAAGAGAACTGTAGCGTGAAGTTCTCCAGAAGCTATCCTTCTCAGGCAAACAAAATTGCAATTCAGAACCACTGTTGCATTGCAGACCTTCGATGCAGACCGGATCTGGCCCAATGGCTTCCACATGGCATTCTGCAGGAAGACTTAGAGGCTGCAGAATTACAGTCAACACAGCTTTTCTGCAGCGTGTGATCTCCACCTTTGCAATAATGATTGCAAGTACTCATTGACCCAGTTCAGAGAATATTACATTGCCTTAATGTAAGATATGAGCAATCTGCTTAATCACACATACAGCCACTTTCCTCCTCCCATCTTTCTGTTTCTGAATGCAATGTGGAAGTCCTCAGTCAAGTCACAGTTTCACATTTCATTTTCTGGATTGGGTATATAATACAGTATATGAATGGCTTGGGACCAGGATAAAAGTTGCAATTTCAGGAAAACTCTTCAGATGTATATTTTCAGTCATGCTTAATATAGCGATGCCTATGTTTTTCCAGCTCAGAGTTGGACCTGCAGTAAAGTGCGCTGTGATGAGGCACGGATGGCCAACAGTTTGTGTTCTTGCTCTGAAGACTGCTTGCAGAAAAAGGACTGCTGCACGAATTACAACAGTGTTTGCAAAGGTGAAGCTGAAAGCAACTGTTGTCACATATGAATAAGGGAATGGTCTTATGGCCTCTGTGGGACCATATGGTTTTTTTGACGTTTGAGCATCCAGATCTTCCAACCGTGGTACCTGTGGTTCAGGACTCCATCCTCAAAATAGGTTCACCATCATGGAGCACCATGGATAGCTCCTATAAATTTCAGAAGAAAAGCTGCTATGGAGGAGGAGCCCCATCGACAAAGAAGCCCCCAGCCTCCCCCAGATTATGAGGATTAAACTGGAAAAGCCAAGAACTGGCTCTGTGGTTGGTTCCCCCCATTTAATTTTTTTCCTTTTCTACACTTTTTTAGGAGAAATATCCTGGCTGAAAGATGCATGTACCTCTTTTAACACTCCTCAGTGTCCAACAGGGTAAGAATAACTTACTTGGCCAGCTTAGTATGCATGTTAGAAAACAAGTCTCCTTGCAAATTTGTATTGTTTTGCTTTGTACAGAGGCATGCAAAGAAATGCTTCCTTTTTGAAGAAACAGCATTCCAAGCTGGCAGATATTTAGGAGATACAGGCCAGATTACGCAGGTGCTTCTGGCCATTAAATAATTGCGATGCCTTCGCAAGGAAGGGCACTGCCGTTTCCTAGGAGCACTTCCTTTCTTCTGCTTGGTGACTATTCCTGCTCTGCTCCCATAACAACCGGGTGCATTTCAACTCTGGATCCCCCCACCTTTCATGTTTCCCAAATAGTGGGCAAACTGGGAAGTTATCAATTTCTCCTTTCCTTCCACAGGGAAGGGTGGGCAACTCTGGAGAATCTGAGGGCCACTTTCCACCTTTAGATCCCCTTTGCATTGCTTTTCAAGCTAAATTGCTTCTTTTTAAACTTCTGTGGTGGTGGCCATGTCAAATCCCTGGTTGATCTCTGGAACACAGAGATCCTGAGTGTCCTTTCTGTAACAGCTTGCATGGTTCCATGGTATATCCAGGAGCCAAGAGTGATGAAACAAAGCAGGAGACAGCCTCAGGAAAACTCTTAGTGGATGCCATTGAGCTTTGGTATGTGCCAATAGATGAGTTTACTTGGAGGCAGAGACAGTGGCAAAGAAACCATATCTCACTGCCTCTAACCAGTCCTCTGTCTGCCACCCCACAGAGCTCTCTAGGGTCATCTGGAACCTATTACATGCTTGCCCCATGGACATCTTAAAGGCCAGCTGCACTATTCTTGCTAGGCTCTTCCAGGAGAAACCCTCTTGCATCCTCCGGACTTAGGCACAGAGGAATCAGGCAGATATCTAGAGCATGCTCTGATCAATTTTTCCTGGATGAGTTCCAGTCAGTGCAGCTGGAGGATGCTGAGTACGTGCTCGGACAGGTTCATGTGACCTTGTCTGCACTGGATCTTTGGCCCCCCTTGGCCAACAAATCAAACAGGGAGGTAAAAGCCAGGTGGTGGCGATTGGAGGGAGAGGTCTTGTGCCACCTGTTTATATTTAGCTATTAAATATTATATTGGATTTTTTATGGTACTGTTAATGGTTATCTATATTTTGTATAGCATTTTGTGTTTTATGTGCTGTTGTAAACTACCCAGAATTCTTTGGCTAATAGATGATATGGAAATGTAATGAATAACCATATTTGTAATGTTTGAAAGCTCTTCTGGAATTGGTGACATCCTAAATCAGGGGTCCTCAACTTTTTCAATAGGGGACCAGTTGAAAGGCAGTGGCTACACACACGGGTCGGTGAGGTGGGGGTGCCATCGGGCGCGTGCGGCAGTGGCTTGCTCGCTCAGACACCATCTCTGATCGAATGAGCCACCACCTCCCCACATGGCGAGGCAGCAGCGAACGCACATGTAGGGGAGGCAGGTGGCAGCGGTGGCTTGCTCCCTTGGAGACCATCTCTGAGCAAGCAAGCAAGCCACCACCTCCCTGCGCGGGCAGCGAACGGCGACGCGGGCCGGATGGATGGCCATGGTGGGCCAGATCTGTCCCACGGGCCGTAGTTTGAGGACCCATGTCCTAAATGATCAATTGTATTTGCAAGGACAGATGTAATTCCCAGGAACTATGTCAACACTCCATGCCATCTTTTAGAAAATATGCGCTTGCTAGCTTGCTTGCTTGGGAACTCTTGAGGGAACGTGGCTAAGGGGTGTGCAGAGTTGGCTTATGGGCATTTATTATTTATTTATTATTTATTAAAACATTTTTATGCCGCCCCATTCGCCGAAGCGAATGCATGTAAAGTGCAGTTTGTCCTGAAGTCTTACATCAGCTGACAGAACACGATGCACTGATCTCTATGGAACAGTGAAAAATAACCCGTACAGCAAATTTCCCACCTGTCACATTGCACTGATTTAAGGTATCCGAAAGGATCCTTTCCATAAATCTCATGGGATTTTTATAGGCTCTACCCATGAACTTTAGCAGATGGTTATCACTGATGACAGAACCTGTTCATCTGTTCCAGGCCTTGGGCCTGTTTTTCACAGCCAGTATTTTATAAACTTAGAGCAGCTACAAGTTGTCAGGGAAGGCAGGTAAGTGAGTTGTGGCCCAATAAACTTCTGTAGATAGCAGAGTAGTTATTACGATGATTTTATAGCTGAAGCACCTTGATTTGCAACCTCCCCTTGGGTTTTCCTTTCCCCTTGTGCCTCAGGCAGATTGCCTACCTGGTGATATCTATCCTGCTTTGTTTGATACAACTGCCAACAACAAGAGCAAATTAGCATGCATGAAATACATGGGTTTAGAAAAAAAAAAGTAATTATGCCTGACAAAAGCTCTAAAAGCTCCACTCTCCCATCCTTAGATCAGGAATGAGCAATTTGTACAATTTGCCTACAACTCCCAGAATTCCACATAGGCCATACCACAAGCTGCTCACATTGTCTTAGTCTTTGCTGCCACTACTGCATGTGGCAAGATTGCTTGTGAGGACCTTTGGCAGGGATTTCCGACAGTATTGTGGCTCTGAGGTGGGGCCTCCAAAGGGGTTTCGGACAGCAGCATAGGACAAGCAATCCTGCTTGTTCACTCTCTTCACAGGGAACAGAAAAGGGGAGCCTTAGCTCAATGGTAGAGCAGAAACCTGGCAGGCAGGAAGCACCAGGTTTCATCCACAGCATCTCAAGTTTCACAAAAATGGTCAAGGAACGCTCATTTGGAAACAGTGGTGCAGCTAGGATGAATCCTGGGGCCAAAGGCCAAGGCCCAGAGGATCCCAGACAAGCACCCAGAGAGCAGCAGAAGCCAGCGTCATCTTATTTCCACAATTATGACAATGCTATGATTTAAGTGAAGCTTAAAGTGCAACGTTGCTGATGCTCAGTGTATTGCTATTTTAAAATCTGGATTGGCAAACAGTTTGGTGGTTCCTATTCTAAATGATCTATCAGGCAGTTGGGAAAGCGTGGCAGGGCGGTGAGGTGGAGAAGAGAAATGTCAGGTGAGCGCCTCATGACTGAAGTGATTCCCCATGTCACCTGAAGGGTGGGGGAGCCATAAGAGCAGAATGTGCAATGATGGAGTCACGCCACTAGTTGAAAAGTGGAGGCCCTGGAGAGTTGCTGTCAGTCAGAATGGACAATACTGGGTGATCTGGACAAGCCCTTTGCTCTGGCCTGTGGTAGCCGCTTACACATGGAAAGGTGACAGTTCAAAGATTTCTCCACTCCTTCTTATATAGGCTAGCTCATGGCACAACTTCCTTCTGTATGCTAGCTTGAAGTGCTGATGTGGCAGTAACAGGAAGGTGCCTTTCCTTTGATAATTACCGGGCTTCCTTTCAGGTACGTTGGCAACATAAAATAGATTCTATATTTTTTTTAAAAATGGACCCTGTTAAGCTAGATTTTTATAGGAATGGAAAGCAACAATGAGCTGCACCTCCTGGTTCTTCTAACATATTGACCATGTGATGTTTACTGGCAGGTTTGATAGGTCCCCACTTATTCTGTTTTCAATGGATGGCTTTCGAGCGGAATACTTGGAAACATGGAGTGCTTTACTGCCAAATATTGCAAAACTCAGTGAGTAACCTCATTCCTATCAGGTTTAGGATGAAAAATCATTTCCTTTAACCAGTAATCAGGACTGTTGAGATTATTTACAAAAAGCTGTTGCAACAGGTTATTCTTGAAACAATTAGTGGAGTGGAAGAAGAATAGCAGAGCCCTTTATCCTCCTTCCTTTCCTCCAGCCATGCTTTCCCAGTTCAAAGGAGGTGGCTCTGGGGCAGCTGCTGCATCTTTCTGCTCTCACTTGAACTCTGAAGTGGCGTCTGGAACAGAAATGCCACACTGCAAAAGCTGAAAGTCCACCCATTAGGATGGTCCCTTCTAAATCAGCTGCCATCCCCAAAGGCAGGGAGAAACACCAGTTGCACAGAACTTGCATGGGCCAATTTATATGTACAGAGGGCCGAATGAGACATAATTGTTATAATTCAAATAGAAATACAGTCAAGCTTACTGTAGTAAGGAAAGTTGTGATTGGGAGTCCTGTGTGCTTTGCTCAGTCTCTTGTCTGGGCCCCGTTGATGGGCAGCTTCACTGCCCAGCCCTTCTGTCTGACGGATATTCATACCAAACTTGAACTTGAGAGCCCTTCAAATAGCAGATATCTTCAAAACAGAGGACAGATCTCTGGCAGCCCTTCAAACAGAGGACTGTCCTCTAAAAAGGATGACACACAGCCGCACTATGAAAGCATGGCCATTCCTTTTTTCAAGTCCAACTTGAGAATCCAGCTTGACTTTCTGGAGTTGGGACTAGGAATAGCTGCCAAGTTCTCCATTTCTTCCTTCTTTTTGTGCCTAATGTTTCTGCAGTGCCACTAAGAGAGAAAATGACCTGTGGAAAATATTTGCAAGGGACCTCTTTAAAGTGGCATTGCCTGTTTTCATTTTTAGCATATAAGATTGTCATAGCTGTAATTTTATAATCACCAAGCACATTCTGTTGCAGAAAACTGTGGAACACATTCAAAGTACATGAGAGCTGTTTATCCAACCAAAACTTTCACAAACCACTATTCGATAGTTACAGTAAGTAGCTGTTTTGCCATTAATCGACTCTATTATCCTCAGTATGACTATCACCTTTCCTTCTGCTATCTTAGAAAGGCTTTATTTAATGATTCAAAACCTGCGTATCTCACCTTGGTAACAGCAAGCAAAGAAAAACACTATAGGATTCCCTCAAATCTAACATTCATTGTTCAAGAAGTTCAAGCAACAGCAAACCATAACATGATGACCCACCAGCTTCTTCATTCCTTAAAGATCCATCTAAGGAAAGCTGATTTGGTTCATGTTAGAAGAAAGGACAACCATGGGCTGCTTGAGCCTTGCTAGGATTCTATTTTATTTCTAAAATCTGTGAAAGAGGCAGGGAGAACCATTTCTCTTTTCCATCATTATTCCTGGAAGTCTGACTGGTGGCCAGGAGGTTGCAGAGTACCTAGCCTAGGTTTCTTTTCCATTTTTTTAATAATCGTAAAAACAAGAAATTAAAACTCTCAGCACCTCGTAAAGCAATTAAGAAAGGGAAAGTGCCAAACCATCTTCCTAAAATGTCACTGAAATTCACCTCCCCCAGCAAGCAAAACCCATCCCAAGAAGTATTTGCTCAGTACATGTGACACACAATATGTGTTTATGTGTATATTATGGGGCATAATATACACATAAACCACTCCTGTGAAGTGGGCAGAATCCCCCACCTGGGAGAGTGGGGAATCGGGCACTCTACCCCCCAGGACGGCCTGCACCAACACCTCCCCACTGCATGTAAGGGTCAAGCCTACTCTGTTTGATGAAGCACTCCAAGAAGAGAAGGGACAGGATTTGATCCCCGCTCAGATAGGAGTGGGGGGAGGAGGCTGAGGGGGTGGAAGTGTCCAAGCCACAGCACGTGGGCCTAAGTGGGCACGTTTCAGATAGCCCTGAATGCTCCTCAGAGCAGGTATGGTGCAGTGGTGGGAGACCTGGTCCAGGGGCCTGAGAGCTGCGGGATCTGGTGCCCACTTGGGCATGAGACTCACTGGGTGACTTTGGGCCCATTGCTTACTTTCACTGGGTTGCTGTTGTGAGGATAAAATGGCGCTATGGAGGCTGCCTTGGGTTCCTCACAAGATGAAAAAAAGGTGGGCGATAAAGGCAGCATAGTAATTCTGGAATGTTGGGAATGAAAATACCAAAGGAAGAGATGCAGTAGAAGTAAGGACTAGAGGTTACAGAGCCCAGAGTTAGGAGTCATGTGAAGCAGCAGGAACAGTCTAAGCGAGCAACCTGGCACGAGTTTCACTCTCCAGAGATTTCCCCCATCAAGGATCTACCCAAAGAGCAGGTGTGGTCAGCATGACTAACCTGAAGGAAAGCTTCCTTCCCATCAGTCTGGTGTGAACTTCCTTTCCATGGACTACTTCGGTGTTAACGCAGCATGACTTGCACAGCCATTGTTTGCAACCTGACCTGCTTCACAGCCTGACGCAAGACTGGCTCCTTTTTAGTTTTTGGCATCAGTAATGTTAGCTGATTCACGCCATGACTTACTGCTCTTCAGAACGGCTGCACACAAACACCTGGCTCTGAGTAAACACTACACACAATATGCCTGGCTGTAAGGAAGGAGGACTTGACGCAGGCATTTGGGCTTGGCCGTTTCCCTTTTCTGGCCAACGTGGCCCTTCGGAGAGTATGGCTGAAGTGGTGGCCCTGAGGCGTGAGGAGGCAGGGACAGCGGAGGCAGGAGAGGGGAAGGGAGGAGGCAGTGGCAACGGCAGTCTGTAGTGGAGCATGGGCTTTTCATCATATGGGTCTGGAGAGTTTGTGCCAGTGCCGGCAATGCCTACCACAATCTCCTTGTTTGGAGGGGGGGGGGACCCAACTGTATGTCTGTAGCCTTAGGATAACATCCTTTGATCTCAATTCAAGAGGCTTTTCAGACTTCCGTGTACATACCCTTAGCACCTGCAAAATCACACTGAAGACAAGGTAGGGGGGACAAAACTGTGCACTTACAAGTTAGCTGAAAATATCACTAAAACAAGAGGGGTTTGCAGCAAAAAGTCCAGCATGGAGTCCTCCTTTTCAGGGTGCCTGTAAGTCAGTCACACTCCTTGTTCAGCTTACACCATTCCTTTCCCTGCTCCTTGTTTTTCCCACTCACAAGAATAAGACAGCATTCTGTGCTGAACACACAGAATGAGGAAATCTTACTGGTATTCTTTTGCATTCTCCCCCCACACTACTTTTTTGGGGGGGGGTGCTATTGTCAGCTTCCCCAAGGCATTCTGATACTACTTCTGTGTGGATAGTACTCATCTGGCTACCTATGGACTGGCACTCAAAGCTCTGAGTTTTCTGTTGATATATATAATAAAATATAATAAAAGGGAACTAGGAACAGGGATGGGCACAGAAATTCAGGTTTGCTGCCTTAAATTTTCAGCAGCATTAACATCTGCAGTGAAACAACCCAACCCAGCACAGCATTGAACATGACCCAGTAGGTTGTGGGGGTCATGTTTCCTTCCTGTTTTAACTCAGTGCGATGTGGGTGTTTTTTTCTCAGGGTCTGTATGCAGAATCCCACGGCATCATTGACAACAATATGTATGACGTCCATCTGAACAAGAGCTTCTCCCTTTCTGGAAGTGAAAAGTCGAACCCTGTCTGGTGGAGCGGGCAGCCTGTAAGTAGTCTCTGCATGTGCTCCTTGCTCTAGATGCGTCACAAATGGGGTCTCCCTTGTCTCCAGCTGCCCACAGGATCCCTCAAGCAGGAGGCTGCAGGAGTTTGGCCTGTACAAGCTCCCCAGCAACCGGTGCATGCAGGCACGCTGCCTCCGGTAATGGAGTGGCACAAGGCTAGTGCTCATCGATTGCCTCCTCCACCAAGCATTTGTCCACTCCTCTTTTGGAGCCATCCAGACTGGTGGCTCTCACTGCTTCTGGCAGTGAATTGCCTAGTTTGACAATGCACTGTGTGAAGCAGTGCTTCCTTTTATCTGTCCTGAGTATCCCATCCATCAGATTCATGGCATGGCCCAGGTTTCCAGTTTTAGGGGAGAGGGAGACGAATGTTTCCTTCCCCACACTATGCATAATTTTAAACACCTCTGTCATGTCTCCCCTTTCTTGCCTTGATCGTTTTAGTTGCTCTTCTCTGAACTTTTTCCAATTCAATAATGTGTGGCAATTGGAACTGTACACACAATAAATGTGGGTGCACCAAGGATGATTTGCATAAGGGGAGTATGAGCCTGGCTATTAGGCTATTTTCAGTTCCTTTCCTAATTATGCCTAACTTGGAGTTTGCCATTTTCACAGCAGCTACACATTGCATTGACATTTTCATTGAGCTGTCTGTGCCCCCCGCCCCCCCCCCACACAAAAGCCTTTTCTTGATCAGTCTCTGCTAAGTCAGAACCCTCAAATAGTTGAATGAGTCAGTTCTCCAAAGTGTGATAGTCTTCTCTAACTTTCTATGCCATCACCTTATCCCTGCCACACGCACAATTTGACCTGAAGAAAGGACAGTCAATGCCTGCTAGACATGATGGCTGCACATTATTTCCTGTTTCAGAGGCCGTATGGCTCTATGCACCCATTTCCAGTACACACCTGGCATAGTATTATTGTATTCACATCCTACTTTTGGATCTCACAGGCAGCTGGTCTACCACTGTGCGAACAGAGCGCTGGACTGGTTAGGCCTTTGGTTGGATTTATCAAATGTATCATTTATGATACGTTTATTTATGACATAATACATGCCACCCAAATAAATTCAAACCACTCAGATAAAAGCAGAACTCAAAGAATGGCACAACAGCACAAAGTGTCTCAAAGCTCCACACAGTCACAACAGGATTTAAGGCAGTCAGATACCTAACCCCCTCCAGTCCATGTAGGAAAAACGTTCCCAACCGAACTCCAAATAATAGATGGAGCCGACTTAATGAGCCTTTAATGACAGGAATTTCCAACAAAGATGCCACCACTACAGTGGTCCTATTCTTTGTAGTCATTAGCTTGAATTTAGCCTCCAACAAGGCTTCGATTATGGGAAAGCTTATACAGTTCTGTTCCTCAAAAATGAGTATCTTCAAATATACACTTCCTTGCATTCACTCCTTGCAGATTTGGCATACAGCAATGTATCAAGGATTGAAAGCCGGCACTTACTTCTGGCCTGGATCTGATGTAAAAATCAATGGAAGTTTCCCTAATATATACAAGTTGTACAACAAGTAAGTTGAAAATGCCTTTGCAAACGAGTGCATGCTAGATTACATAATTTTATACAGATGTCTAAATTTTTAGGAACAGTGTACCTGACGTACAGACATTGTACAAACGTATTTATGACAGTTGTATATAATGCATTTCTGTAAAGCTGCCACTGAACTAGAGTTTTATTCATTTTATAATTGCTGGGCCACTGCTTGCCACATCTCTGGCAGGCTGCCACATTCTGGCCCTAAATAATCTATATGGCCTTTAATGCAGGAGTGTGCCACCTCTGTGACCACAAGGGCCATGTGCAATGCTTGATGGTGGCTTGCGGGGCTGCACAAACGGATGCATATTAAAGTGCAATGGATTTATGGATTCACAGTTTACTGAAATATGGCCTAGGCTGGGAAATATACTGAAGCAGTAACTGCAAACATCACAGTGCAATAGGGATGGGGCAAACTGTTAACCCCCTCCACCCCGATAAGCATCTATTTCACATGCAGAAATCTCCCTCAGTCCGTGCATTTGGTATAAGCCTATCAGCTCAAAAATGCCATGTCATGCTTGGTATTAAAATATTATATTCTGCTTTTTCTTTTTAAATTACACATCTTTATTGAAAAGGAAAAGATGCATACAATTTTACCAGAAGGAATAAATAACTGAAATATTGTAGGAAAGATACAGGTTCACTATGTCATCATGGTGAGAGTACACCGAAGGAAGAGGCTCTGCAAATAGATGCACAGAGAGGTCAAATCAATGGACCAACAGTATGGAGATGTTACTCAAGAACAAGATGCAAGCACAATTGCTGGATGCTTAAATGACCTACCCCCCCCCCCCCCCAGTGTGGCCCCTCCAGCATAGCTGAGTAGAGAATATGGGTGGGCTTTTGTCCTGTCTAAGCTTGCCTACAGTTGCTCCTTTACTTAATGTAAATGGGTCATGTGGCATACACCCTCATATAGGTATATATACAATGCTAGAGGGTTGCAAAATTTCAGGCAGAAAATACCAAAAAAGGGCTGTTGCTATAAACTATACAAAATGTACCAACTGCATTTCTGTTTACCAGATTTACAAGTAGCAAAAACCTTTTCTTCAAATAAATATATTGTACACAAACCTACATATTACAGGCCGTATGCAAGAAATATAGTGCATAACTATAGGGCACCAAGTCTCTCTTCAGCAATCAGTGAAATGTGATCTATGCAGCAGGTCTTTGAAGAAGGTTTCTAGACAGCTTCTCAGCAGTGCTAGCCATGGTGTGGCAGGGTGTGTTGTTACAAACACTGCAGCAACAGTCTCTATTGGTATGGTCAATGATGTCAGATGTAGTGACAAGCTGTACCAAACATTTAGACATGATGGAAACTCCCGAATGTAAGCCATTTGACATCCATTCCTTTTCTGAAGAACAAGACTATAATTTGCAGCAGATATCAGTGAAATGTGTTTCTCCTTATTAACATACTCTGCTCCACAAACAAAATGTAAACACAACTTATAAAGGCAATAAAGAATCAGCTTTTCCACTGTAAACTAAACTATTACAAAAAGTACTTCTGCTATTCTCTATTGCCTGAGAGCACAGAAAGTACTTTAATTTATCTACTTGTCAAAAAAGTTCCAGTGAAATGATACTTCTTTTTCTGAAGTAATAGCCAAGTAACACATCAACCTCTTGTAATTCATGACTGCTTATATTACATATCTGGTTGTTCCAATGAAAATGTTCTCTGATAGAAAGAGAGAACATGAGAGGAAGATCAGCTGCATCACACTTAGAAGTATTTAAAGAACAGTACAGTTTTTCAGAACAGATGATAACTGGTTGCAACAATAAAATAAAGTATCTCATTAAGAGAAAAGAGGGCTTCCATTTGATATTGAAATTGAGATACACTCATTGATTTCAAGTCCAAAGATAATTGGACTTGATGTAAGATAATTATTTATATGAAAGTGTTTTCAAAACACCAGCCAGATTCACCTTATCGTTCAGACCCAAAGGACACAGAGATCTCAGTTTATGGATTGAAAATACTTTTGGCCAGTGATGGGACTTACAGATCTCTCCTATGCATGTTTGCTTAGAAGTAAATCATTACAATCAATGGGCCTCTCAGGCAGATGTGCATCAGATTGTAGCCTTAATTTACCTGCATGATAAGTAAATCTCTGGAGAATGAGATACCTCTCAGGAAAACATTTAAGCAAGCTGCCACGAAATGATCTGCATAATGCTGGCTGTTACAGAGGTGAATTTGCTTGTTAATTTATCCATGAAAGCCAGGGACCATGTCTATGCCATTGTTTTATTACAGGACAATGCACATTCAGTGTTTAAATATATTTTTCTTCCTTGTAGATCAATTACATATGAAAAAAGAGTTACAGAATTGTTGCAGTGGCTAGAGCTTCCCAAATCTGAAAGGTAATAGCCAAAGAAGCTTAAAATATCAGACTCCAAGCACTTCTTATGTCTTGTGGATGTCTGCGTGTACATTAAATGTTAAGAAGCGTGCTTTTCTCGGTTTTCTGCCCATTATTCTATCTCCTTTATCTCTAAACCTGGTCTTCTCATTTTCCTGCCTTCCTTTAATAACATACTTGTTCCCTTTACTGCATTGCTTCACTGCTTTTGTTCCCGGCCTTTCCATGTTGAATCTTTGATCTTCCTTTCCTTTTGATCAGTTCTTCCTTTGCATTTCAAGCATAATCCTTTGTGTTTCAGACATATTCCAGACCTGTGTGCCTACAGATTTGTTGGCCTACGGTTCTTGTTATTCCTCACTAGGACTAATGGGAGTTGTAGGCCATCTGGAAGGTTAGAAATTGCAGAAGGTCTTTAGAGAAATTCAGGACAGCTGCTGGGTGGCAGGCCTCTGTAGCGCATGGAGCAGTATTAGTACATGCTGCATGGTGTTGCTTGGTCTTCACATCACTCTGCAGGAAAAGGGAAATGCACGACAGCAGGCATTGCATGTGACCCTCTCCTACCCTGACACTCTCCTAATGTGTTCAGCTCCAGTTCCCATGGTCCCCAGTCAACATGGGAATAATGGTAGTTATAATATAAATGAATGGCATCTGGCTGGGGAAGGCAGCATTACTTCTTATGGAGAGGAGCCATGGCTATAATTTTCTTCAGTGTCTCCATGCTTGAGCCCTCCAATTACTCTCTTTGAAAAACTCTGCTTTGAGTTCTGCCAACGTTGCTTCTTGAACAATTACTCCAGCTTTTCCTTTTCTAACCTCCCCTAAGCTGTACACCATAGAGAATGACTGAGGCCAGTCCATCCAATCCATTGCCATTTTTATTCTCTGAGATGGGTGGGTGCTTGAGATTTTCTACCTCAAGTGTCAAAATAACATGCTTGGCCTTGGGGATTGTACCCTTTGACTCTGTGTGTGCGTACGTGTGTTTGTGTGCCCAACTGATGTTCCATCTCAGGCCACAAAATATCTTACTCCAGCCCTATTACCACATGGGGAGTAAGGGTTTGTTTGTTACACAAGAAAGCACAATTTTGGGGCATTTTAGCTACTTGCCTCCCCCTGGATCCTCCCACATACTGCACTCCTGTTATCACTGCACTGTAAAAATGGCAAAAATATTGGTGGTTTGCTACCAAATTTTGCTGGCAAACTGCTGCAGAACCTTATAAAAAGACATTGGGCTTGTTTTCAAGCTGAATGTATACTTTTAAAGGCTAGTGGCTAGTGCCATTGAATTCTGGTACTTTGCTGCTGGAATTCAATGGCAAGCAGCTGTGTTTTTGCTATCGCAAATTTTGAGAAATTTGTGAAATATTGCAAATTTCAAGGCAGCAACAAAACCACGAAGAGGACAGGGGATTGCATGTGGCCCCAAGCAATGTGTTCCCCACCCGTTTTGCATGAAGAGGAGGGGAGTGGAACATTGCCCCACTCCCCTTCAACTTGCCATGCTGTCAGGGCTTTTTCTCCTCCCTGCCTGATTTCCAGACAGAGAAAACACTGTGAGAAGCAGCAGAGCCCCACAAGGAAAACTGGGTGGGAGGCAGCAGACCTGTGCACTGCTCTATCTTACTTCGTCTCCCCTTAATTTGAGTGTGACCTAGCAGCTCTTGTAGAAGGCCTGGATGCCGAGTGGCACCAAGACTTTCCAATGCAATTGGCCACAGTGTGCTGTTGCACTGGTTGTAGTACATGCCTTCTAAATGGGTTTGGCACTGTTTTCTGGAGAGGTGGAGACATTGGTAGGGCAGGGTCAGGACAAAATGAGGAAGAGCTTTGCCATAATACAACTGCTAAAAGCCTGAAACTGTGAGATCAGCTTTAGGCTTAAGATGGGATTCCCTGTCCTGAAAGACCTGTTCTTTGGGGTGTACCTTAAACACGCTAATTTCTGTCTTCCTGAAAGTTCTTTCTGTATTGTACTGCCCTAGCCTCACTCAACCCTTTTGTTTTATTCTCACATGACTTTAGCAAACTGTCTGTGTGATCCCCAACCCCTCCTCCAAACTGTGATAGGTTGTAAAAGTATCTTGTACAGACACCATCTGTGTGGTCCCTTTGGGGGCTGCCTGTATGCTGCATTTATTTCCTGTATGTCCGAATACACATTTTTTCCCTAGTGTGTACCCCCAACAGACTCTCAGGTGGTGTTTTTATTCACTCCTGTCAGCAGTAACTTTAGCCTGGATCCAATGCTAGTTGGTTGCTCTTAGACACATTGAAAGGAATGGGACTTAAGTTAGTCTATCATTCGGCAGAACCATTTAGGAAAAAATTTTGTTGCTAGTCAGGCTTGGGAAAATCAGTGGCATGAGAGCTAATGGGATGGGCCACCATCTGTGGCTACTGGGCTATGTTTGGATTGGAAAGCTACAGTTTGTGTAGTGTTGAGATCAAGACTGGAGATATGAATAATCAGATGTAGACAGAAAGAGGGCTGACTAATGTGCTGGCCATGCTGGGAGCTGTAGGCCCCTTTTCCTGTCAAAATAGGGGTAGGATTGCATGCTTAAGCTCTGATTCCCTGAGAATATTAAGATGCATTGAACTCAGTGAGGCTTACTTTTGGATAGACTGTCTTGAGGATAGGCTTTTGCATTTGGAAGTATTTATGCAGATGGAGAAATACAAATGTCATATGAAGATTATGGGTAAATAGCCTCCGCATTATATGGGAATTAGGGAGTTCTAAAAGATAGGGAGGTCTCCATCAACAAGATAAATACATGTCCCTTAGCATGGATCGGACTTTGAGACATTCAGCTTGTATAACATTAAGTAAAATGGACTATAAATATCGCATGTTTTTTAATAATGAACATATTGGCAGCTTTGTTTGAGCAAAGGCTGGCTGAGATCCCTTTTCAACAGTCTCAATGCTCTTCCCTCTTAAACCCTAGGCCAGATTTCTATACATTGTACATTGAGGAACCTGACTCTTCTGGACACTCATATGGACCGCTTAGCGGAGGGGTAAGCTACGTCTTCCTTTTCAAAAATGTCTTCAGCTAAGTTCCAGTAGGTGCTCCCACTCAGATAGTGTATTCACTGATGGCAAAGAGGATAATGCTTCCTGGCAAAAGAGAAGCAGAGCTGAATCTCATTTTCCCAGTAATAAAACAATATCTGTGTTTGCCTGACTGGGAAAGGAAAAGAAGCCTCAGTGCAGGCCCCTCCCCCATCTAAACATGCATAAAATTGCACCCTTATGGCATGTTTTATTTCATTGCCTCGTGATCAGCTTAGTTGTGGTCTTGTATGCAACAAGTATGAAAAAATGCTGGTGACCTCTTTGTCCTTCTGTGCAGACAATTAAGGCCTTACAATTGGCAGATCAGACCCTGGGAATGTTAATGGAAGGCCTTAAACAAAGAAACCTGCACAAGTGTGTCAATCTTATACTCCTGGCTGATCACGGTATGACTGTTTCGCTCTTTTCTATCTCAGTAAAAACTTGCCGATTTAGCCATTTCAATATTTGTTAAACTCTTTAATATTCTCTTCTCTCTTCTTTAGGCATGGATAAAACATTCTGCGACAAGATAGAATTCATGGCAGATTATCTTGATAACATTAATTTTTATATGTATGAAGGTCCGGCGCCACGAATCCGATCAGGAAAAGTTCCATTAGACTTCTTTACATGTGAGAAGAACCATAGATACATAGACTCATAAGAACCGGGGGGCACTGGACGCTTCAGCCTAACCCTAGTCTGACTCTCTGCCTAGTGTGGGAAATGCAGGGCTACAGCACCCACAATGCCTCTCTCCAGACTGCCACAGCCCAGCAATCTCCATGGTGGAATTGCTTTTATCATTCAGTTTCTTTTCATCATAAACCAAAACCTCTCCTCCGTTTGCCTAAGGCCATCAGATATTGTCTTGCCTCTGGGAAAGCAGAGTACAAGTCTTTGCCTTTTCTATGTGACAGCTCTTTGGGCTGGTCTTGTTTTGACTTCCCTTGCAGGATTTGTTCCCTTGCTGAGGAAGGGAAAGCCTTAGGGGGTGGCCCTCTACTCTGGTACCTGAAATGCTGCCACACCTTGTTGGATACATTACCTGAAGTAACAAGTGGGCTCAGTGGGACGTGAGACTTTGGGGAGCAGGGCAGAATGTTTTAGCCCCTTGGTTGTCTCAAGTTCCATCTCTGAGTGACATGATCTTGAGTCCAGCACCAGAAAGCTCCTTCATCTTCCAACGTTCCACAGTCCATGGAGCCAGTGATGCCCTCAGCATTGATCTCATTCTGTGAGAAGGGATGGAGTCTGATCAGGGATTTCTTGGTTGAAACTTAAAAGGCTTCAATCTGACCTCAGACCTTGTTGGAGCAAGTTCCTTACCAAGAGCTTCTTTCAGTCAAGAACTGATGTTCTTTAGTCAAGAACAAGAACCAGAGATCCTAGCACTTCTGGCAATTCTCTGGTTGCTGGAATAATTCGCAATGTTGGGGCACTGATCTTTGCTTCTTGATCATCCTGACTCAGCAGACCCCTCTCCCTCTATCAGGATTCAAGTTCCCATTGGTAGACTAACTCCTGACAACAGTACAATTTATCTCATCTTCCATATTCTGTCTTGCTTTCATATATTTGTCTTGTCTTCAAACACATGCTGCAAACATTTCATGAGCTTCAAACTTGGAGTTAAGTTGGAACTTAAACTTGGAGTCAAGCTTTATACACAAGACCAAACCTCTTACTGTGCAATCATATGCATGTCTCCTTGGAAGTAAGCCCTCAATATGGCTCACTCCCTGGAAAGCAGGTATTCGATTGCATCCTAGTAATATTTTCTGGAGTCAAGTGGGATATACATTTTACACAAATGCTTGTGCCTAATTGTCTTGTCCTGTTTGGGATAATTGTGATGTTTTCTACTGAAGCGATAATGTTATAATCATGAAAAGAACATATGAATGACACATATATTTTATGTTATTGCATGAAAGAGTCTCTGAGATAGAGACTTTATGGCATTTTACTGCTTTAGTTAAGTGTTAAATGGTAAGATGCGATCATAATAGCATTGTGCAGTCTAGTAGGAGTCAAAGTAAATGGGATGCCAGGAATGAGGTCACATGGTATATTAAATATAATTGATTTTTATTTTCTTCCAAACAGTTGACTCAGAAGGAATTGTCAAAAATCTTACAGTGAGTAAACAATGCTATCACTTTCTCCCTTTAGCAAAACTCAAAGTATGTAAGTGAAAAGCGTATCTTTGAGATTCTGTTGGAATTAAGGAAATTTACTTCATGGCTATTCCCTCACTCTTCCCCTTTAGTACCTTATGCTTTGTTGAACCACATGCATGGGTCACTAATCTATTGGTATTAGTAGTATTGTTACTACTGCTATTACTATTATTAGATGCATACCTTGCCTTTTTCCTTACAAGAACGCATGGTAGCTTGCATCACTTTCTTCCTCCTGCTTTCAGTCTTATCCCCTACCTATGACGCAGGCTGGGCTGAGAGTCCAGGAATGACCCAAAGACACCAAGTTGGATCCATGGCTGAGCAACTCAGATCTCGTGAGACAGAGATCCACACTTGTAACCAGTACACCACACTGGTTTTATGCCTTCTTGTCTCAGGATGGGTGATGGATACTCTTGCCTATATGGCTGGAAGTGATCTTAGGGAAGCCTTGAATCAATTTTGCTGAATTAAGTAATCTGCTTTATGGAAGAACCAGCATATGTGGTGCTACCTCCCACAAGCTGGTGCTCCTAGATGTTATGGTCTTCAACTCCCACCAGCCACAGTTGGCAGGGCCAATGCTTAGGAATCCAGAGAATTGTAATGAAAATATCTGGTGGTTGGGGAAAGCAAGTGCAGTCAATACTCTGACCACAGAAAAGGACATTCAGATCCCTGCTAAGTTTTGCCAGTGGTGATCTCAAAGCCTGAGCTGTCTCACATAGCTGTTGTATGGACACAGTATGGAAACACCAAGTTGGTCATCATAAGCCTTTAAAAGATGAACTGGTCACAAATGTGATAGATGGAGAGATCCAGCCAAATGTTCACATAAGCTCTTCTTAATGAAACATTTAAACTATTTATTGTTTAACTGCTTCAACAGTTTTTTAAAAATCGGATTCTCTGCATCTTTGATAACATTCTCTATAAAGGCTGGGCAACTTGTGTCCCTCCAGCTGTTTTGGAGGACTAGGCTATTAGTGGCTGTAGTATTGCTGGCTGTGTTCTGCTTCCTTTATCAGTGGTGGCAATTGCTGAGGAACTCAGGCAGGTGGAGGTCTTGCACCCATCCCGCTTGAGTGATCCCGCGGGCAGTTGGTTTGCTGCCATGTGTATGGAGTACTGCACTAGATGGACCTTTGGTCTGATCCAGCATGACTTTTCTTACGTTCTTAAGACTCAAACCTCAATCTCTGATGCCACAAATATCTTACAGAGGCCCACATGGCATGTTTACATCCATCACTATATTTGTACTCTGCACTTTGTATAAATCTTACAAGTTTGCTTTGCCATTTTCAGTGCCGCAAGCCGCAACAACACTTCAAAGCCTACATGACTCGGAACTTACCGAAGCGTTTGCATTATGCTAACAACATTCGTATTGACAAAGTTAATCTCATGGTGGATCGGCAATGGTTGGCTGTAAAAGCTAGGTAGAGTGTTGGCACAGATTTTCAGATACTGTTGAAATGTGTATGGTTTGATTATGCATTAATTTATTAGGTCACTTTATGTCCCATATAGCTCAAATATTCTTCACAGCTTAAAAAGAATGGGAATTCCCCATGGAGGAAGTTTAGACCCACTGAAATAAATTGGATCTATATTAGCCAAGTCAAGTTACTTAGTATGAGTAAATCTGGAAATAATCTATATTCTTCAGATTTCTATTTGTTTTTAGTAAATCTGCATCAGTGGATTTTCACCAGTAGTGTTCATTTAGAACATGCTTCCCCAGCTGGGTGGCTTTCAGAGACAATTGGACTGCAATTCCCAGAATTCCCATTCAGGAGGGCCATTGACTGGGAATTCTGGATGTTGCATTCCAAACATGTCTGGAAGGCACAAGAATGGGAAAGGCTATTTAGAACACACACAACTTCGGACAATTAAAACATTGCCTAGCAGAAACATTGTGTGTGCATAAGTGTGTCTTTGTGTGAATGTAAGTGTGCATATTTTCCTCTCTAGAATCTTAGACGTTAGTGTAATCCTGGCCTACTTCATTACTAATATTAGGAATTTGCTTTTTAAAAGACCCAGTGACTGGGTTTACCCAGCCATCCATCACAGGTAACGAGTCATGTGGGGTTGCCATGTTATGCAAACCCAGACCATGCAAACCCAGACCACTGTCAGGGTGTCTTGTCTGTGGACAAAAAAGATTCTGATAAGCCATGGCTTGAAATAGGGTTGTTGGAGCCATGACGAATTGTCATGTCATCTAAATATAGATGACCAGGCTCATTGTGGGTCTAGGAAACTGGTGAGCCAGCCACTCTGCAAGCGCAGCGGCAACCCTTGTGGCTCTTGCTAAACTTGTTTGTGCACTTGCTCTTGGGCCACTGCTTGTGATAGTGGCACTTTGGGATGACTGTCCCTGGTTTGGTCTCTCCCTTGCAGGCCAGAATCCATTTTGTGCTTGCCACAGATTACCGCCCCCCCCCCCACACACACACACTTTTTTCCGGGGATTCCTTTAACTTCTTGCAATCCCTAAAGTGACCGCCACTGACAATCTCTCCAAAGTATCCAAGCAGTGCCCAAAATTTGCATTATTGTCATAATCCTTTTTATTTAACAAATATGTACCTGTCAGTCTCTCATTCCTGAATAGCCCTGTCACAAACTCTGGTTTAAAGGGAAGCCTGGATTTTGACATCTCTCTGCTTTTGTAAATGTGAGGATTATACCTTTCATCTTTCTGTCACCTGTAGTCTCAAGATAAGGCATAAAAGTGTGAGAATATTGAGAAGAGTCAGGTCAAACTGAGGGTGGTGGTGGGTGGGAGCACAAACCCCAAACTGGGAGGATCTCATTGCAAAGGGAGTGCTCTAATGTCAACCAAAGTTCACTGGTGACTTTGCTTTCCCTGGACAGCTTGCCTTTTGACAGCTGTCAAGAGAGCGTAGCAGAAGAAGTAAACCTATTTGTAGTCTTGTTTCATCAATGTTCCTGGATCATGGCTCCTGAATCATAGAATTGGAAGGGGCCTGTAAGGTCATCAAGTCAACAGTCTGGAACGAACATGCAGTGGGAGGGAGGGAGCTTCAAGGGGACCAGAGCAGGATAGGAGGAGGGAGTTGCAATAGGGAGCAGGCAAGGCAAGGGTTAGGGTGGGATCAATGGGGGGGGAGGTTGCAACTCTCCCCCCCACAACACACCACCACTCCCCCTCTTTTGTTAAAGTTGGCCCTTGACACTTGAGAAGAGACTTGAGGCTTGACTCAAATAAAAATTGCAATAACTTGAGATTTGACTGGGAACTGACAATAAAGACTTGAGACCTGACTTGGAGGAAAGGACTTGAACACATCACTGTGTCTTTTTTGTCATTCTTGTAAGGAAAAATTCCAAACTGTCGAAAGCATTTGCTGTTTTGAAACAAAGAAGAAAAGTTCAATATGGGGGTTACTCATCTAATCTCCAAACAGTGATCTCAGAAAGTTGGATAGATCAAGATAAAAAAATAAAATTCCAAAAACCCCCATGGTTACATGTGACTATAATCATTCTTCCATCTGTGTGCTTTAAACACATTGCAGCTGTGAGTGAGATTAGATTGCCAGGCAATTCCATTTATTGTTTGTCACATTATTATGAAATATCTTTGTCTCAAGGACTAAACATGTCTTTTGGGAAAAGCACTCAGTTCTAAAATATACAAATGAACAGCTTAGTCATTTTTAAAGGATGTGTTTCAAGAAAGGTAAAGGTGCAGCCCTATTCATGTAGAGATAAGGTTAAGGGCCTGCAACTGGCACCCCGAATGGAGTTCACACTAAAGTGTGGTATTATCTAGAGAGGGTGGAAGGAAGTGCTTGTGTATTTTCTCAGTTCTGCTGTATTGCATTGCCACCTAGTGGTTATATGATGTAACATATAGAAGGCAGCACAACAACCCACATTTTAACAATGACAGTAGCAACTTATGCTTCCAGGACAGCCCACACTCTACCCATGCTCAACCCTTGGGTTATGGTTCTGCCTGAACCCAGTCATTGATTGCAAACGTAAACTCTCTGTGGACTCAGCCTTAATTTGGAGAATTATTGGCAGAGTGTTAGCATGTTAATTTAATCTATGTCTCCTTTTTCTGATTTTAGGCCTGCAAATACAAGATATTGTGGCGGTGGTAACCATGGATATGACAATGAATTCAAAAGTATGGAGGTAATTTTTTAAACTAAAGTTGCCTCCTCTATCAACTTTAATAAGATGGTGTCAGATTTTTATGCAATAGCTACCCCCTGTGCTCAACCCCTTAATCTACAGCCTAAGGAATACCATTGGATTTGTATGTAAGTCAGATCACATGAATAAGCCAAATGTTTGCCTTGGTATATGCATGTATTTGCACATTTGTCTTAGTATATACATATATTTTGCATAAAAACACGTAAGGAACACCTCCATGTTCACTAAAACACAATACAGCATTGTAATAATGATAGTGATACAGTAATAATAAAATAACAGGAAGGCATCTCACCTTTTTCTGCTTACATTATTATTTCCACTTTAGTTCCATCAGGATTGTTTTCTTTTTCTTCATTGCATCACTTGCACTTGCATCTGAATCAGATTTGCACTTTGGAGGCATGATTACAAGGGCAAATACATAAGAAAAACCAAAGGGAAATTATGTGCCCTACATGTGCCCTGAAACTCATTGGTTTGGGCAAACACCATGGAACAAAAAGCCATGAACACCATATCTCTATGAGGCCACTGAGAGACTTGTTGCCAAACACATCACAGGTAGTTCCCTAGAGATAACTGTGAGTAACTCTAAGAAAAACCGTGAATATTTCCAAGTGGCCACAGATGACATGTCGCCAAATGTGTCACAGAGATAGTCACAGTTTTTCTCTAGAGATATGCATGTAGGCTTTACGGCGGAACACATGTTCATAAATACAGATTGTTCGTAACTTGGACATTTATAATCTGGGAACTACCTGTGTATAAAAGTTTGGCACCCAGTACTGGCTGACATTCTCTTCTATAGCTTTCTTTGCCTCAGACCTTTCCGGGAAGTTTCAGATAGGGCTGTCATGCAAGTCCAGCTGATTCCATTGCTCAAATGAGGCCCACAGTTCCTGCAACAGACATGTAGTGCTTCCTATTCGAAGTCTCAAAATGAACAGCAATGCTAATTTCTGGCTTAGGACCACTCCCTTAGGTGAGTTTTGCTCACCTGCCTCACTCTGCATGTAAGCATTTCCATTCATTTCCAGTTACTCCTAGAAGCATTAAATCTCCACTGTGGAAGGAATGGGTCTCACATGCAGAGTAGAATCAACTTGAGCACAGCACTCTGTTGGTTATTGCCCTCTGGTGTATCTCCCCTGACCCCTGTTCCTGGAGCATCTTTTTAGGAGAGCTGAGAAGATCTCTTTGGAGGGGATGGTAAGCTGGGTGCCTTGGACAGGAGCTTCAGCTTAAGGACAGAGCACATGGTTCACACATGGAGGCCCCTGACTCAGCCTTGGTCAGCCTCCCTGGACTATTTGTAAATCATGTTGTTGGTTTTTCCTGGAATAAGTTACTGTCTCAAAAAGAAAAGAAAAGAAAAGAAAAGAAAAGAAAAGAAAAGAAAAGAAAAGAAAAGAAACCCCCCCCCCCACCAGTTATGTTTTTCCCCATAGATGGCTTGTGTTAAAAGGTTGCTAAGTCTATTACATATTTATTAAACATTCAGCTGATATCTGTTTAGTGAGATCATTTTTCTTATGACTATCTAGGCCATCTTTGTAGCACATGGGCCAGGATTTAAAGAAAAAATTGAAGTGAAACCTTTTGAAAACATTGAGGTTTACAACTTAATGTGTGGTAAGTAAAAACTAGACTCTCTGCAGCAGGAAAAACAAAATCCAATGAGCAGAGAAACATAAGACAGTGGCCCAAAATATAATGTCCTGCTTCAGGATATAATGCAAACATATATGATATCGTTACCTTGGTCCCATAATCCTCCTCTTTCCATAGTAGTGGCATAGGTGAGCAGCTGTTTTTCCTATTGGACAGTGCTGTATTTATGATTCACGTAGTACTTTTATATCCATTTAGAGCTATGCACCAAGGTGGTTTGAGTGTTGGACTGGGGGCCCTGGAAGACCCAGGTTCTAATCCCCACTCAGTCATGAAGTTCACTGGGCAACTTTGGGCAGTCACTCACTCTCAGCCTGACCTACCTCACTGGGTTGTTGGTGTGAGGATAAAATGGAACCATGTGAGCAACCCTGGGTTCCTCACAAGAGATAAAAAGGGCAGGATATCAATAACAACAACAGCCACCAGCTGCTGTTCTTGCATGGTGGAACCCAGGGCAGCATGCATCGTGTCCTTAGACACTTAGCCATTCAAGCCCAGACCGCTTTAGCTTCAGCAAAGAGTCAGCATCACGTGTCCTAGGACGGCGCTGCACTTTGAAAAGGGTCATCTGTACTGCGCTGCCTTCCAGATTTGGAAATCTGCAAGGAGTCCCCCAACACACTGAGATGTATGGTCATTCCTCCCCTACATATGGGAAAGTCTTTCTCCATGAGGCACTAATTGTGGCACATGATTCCTTATTTGTGGTTATTTCTCCATTCTTTAGATTCTGATCCTACAGTTTCAATTCTGTTTTTCTAGAATTTCTTTTAGAATGAGGAAAATAGGATATTATTTCTGAAAGCAAAAGAAAAGGGTATTTTTCTACTTTAGTAACTGCAACATTCTGCTGCAGTGCATCAACACCCAGAGGTGATGTAGCAGAAAGGCAGAAAGGGGAAAGTTCTTTGTGTTGCACTTATATTTCAATTCTGTGATAAATTTGGAAGTATATTGAGACTGCGATGAATTGCTTCTTGTAGAAAAGCTTACAATGACTGTGTTTATCATTAGGAGAAAGCTTTATGTAAATGCTTACAGGGTCTTTTTTCTTCAGTTTTTATATCTGGAAAGACTAGTTCTACCTAATTTATGAGATGGTGGGTCGTGTTTTGAGAAATAATAACAACAGCACTGTATTTTTATTATTTACTTATTACATATTATAATTAAATAGCATACATTAATCAAGATAATTCTAAGATACCTTTCAGAAAAAAGAATCAGAAAAAGAAAAAAGAAATTTATTGTTTAAAGCTAACACTAATTATCAATAAAATGCACAGTTCCATAAAACAACTGCAACATTAGTGACAACCTCATACAATTCAACTACTATATTCAAAAGCCCTTTAAATGCCTGAGAATTGAATACTGGGAGTAGAATTTCCACTTGATGTTCATGAACACCAAGTGGACGTTCAGCAGCACATACTTTCAAATTATGCACTCAAACAACAGTGCGAATGTTGCTTTTTGCTATGACTTTCTTCTCAAGGATCCCAGCTTGCATGACAAGGTCCAATGCATTCCTTATTAGTGCAGTTCCATTGCTACTAACCCATAACTTAACCCCAGCCGGCACATTTGCATTGTTTGCTGAAGGAATCTCCATGGCACGGGCAGCTCCCATGGGACAGATCCACACCAGTGGCCCAAGCACCCTCCAGGGCTACTTTCCACTGAATGCTGCCCTGGTGAGATTAAAGACCCAACCACAGAGAAGGGGCAAACACACCACAGCAGTAGGCTATCGATCAGACCATAAACAAATTGAATGGAATGGCCCTGTGTGTACCAGTAAAGAATCCAAGCAGCTCTCTCTGGAAAAATGATATTGCAGGGTTTGAAGTGGTCCTTCTTCAGCAAGAAATGCTTGTGCCTGTTCTTTTTTTTTTTTTACTAATAGCCAGATTTGCATGGTCTGGGACTGAGCTCTGGTTCCAGCCAAGGCTTGGATAGGCCTGCGCATGATAAATCTCATGCATAATGAACAATAATGATTCCCCACCCTTCACAGATCTGCTTAAAATTCAGCCAGCCCCAAACAATGGAACACACGGAAGCTTGAACCATCTTCTGAAAGTTCCTTTCTACACTCCATCACCTGCAAAAGAGGAGTCCCCTCCATCTTCCTATCCTGTTAGTCCCTCTCCATCTTCCAATGTGTCATCGGGTTGCAACCTCGACTCAGTAAGTCCTAACAGATTTTTTCCCCTTTTTGCTTTTCAGGTATTTAAGGTATTTTTAAATGAACTCTCCTGGTTCTTTTTTGTTTGCAGATAACAGATTTAAATGCTGTGAATCAAAGATTAAACCTCACCGATAAAGCAAGTAAGTTTAGTTGTTTTTTTAAATATTACAACTATAAATTCAAAATATGCATTCTTTGAAAACAAATGATAGAAATGTCCATGGTATGTGACACAGCCAATACACATAGCATGAACTGTTACATTTTAAATTTTTACAAATTCACACTTTCACACAAAAAGATACAAAGCAATAATTCCTATTGCATTTCTTTTTTATTTAACAAATCTGTTTCTAGGTTTTCTCTGTGTAAATTCACTGATTATTGTGGGGTAAATGGTTTTCTTGCAATGACAGCTTATGCTAAAGCTGAACAGTAAACTTTCTTGAGCCGCTTCGGCACTTTGAAACTTGAGGCTATTCGTGTTGAAGCAGCACATTTAAGAGTGTGTGTGTGTGTGTGGGGGGGTCCCTCCATGATAGGCAGAGCCACACTCCAAGCCACACCCCATCAAAGCCACGCCTATTTCCAAGGTGGTGCAGCCTATGATTATATGATCAAAATCAGCTTTGTCGCTCTGTTTGAATTTCTGCTGAGTGATGTATGCAAGATGAGGGTATCTCTTTTAGAGATGAAACAATGACTGCTTCTAGAAGTTATTTCTTATTACCTTATTTATTAAGAATGAATAATTTTTTATTACATTTGTACCCCTCTTCTTAACCTGTTAGATTCAGGACTCCAGTGAGGTGGCAGCTGCCAGCCATGAACCAGCAAAATTAAGTCACTGGAGAGGTAGTGGGGGAGGGACTGTGACCCTGGCTTTGGGGATCCAGTGAACCCCCCAAGGTACCCTCCAAGATAAGTGGGGGTGCTCCAACCTCCAAGGGCCCCCTCCACTACACCTTTGCTCAAGATAGGCCGAGTGCAGGTGAGGTCAGGATGAGAGACGCAGATGAGGCATGGGCGTTTGAGCATAGTGCTGTTCCAAGCAACCCAGCGGCAGCTCAGGCAAGGCAACAGGTGGGCTTGTGGGCAAAGGGAGTATGTAATTCTCCACTTTTGTGAGCTGGAGAAAGGACAGAAGAAGGTAGGCAAAGCCCATGCTGGCTGGGAATGATGGGAGTTACAGCCCACCTAACACATCTGGAAGGCACCAAGTTGGAGAAGGCAGGAGTAGCTCGCAGGCAACCTGAATAAAATCCATGGACACGACTGGGATTTTGAGAGTGTTGTGAGTGCTGTCACAAAATGGCTGCCATGAGGGAGGCATGTGTGTTCATAAAAGAGCCTGACAGGGTGGGTATGGCCAGTCATAAGGCACTCCTCTCCCACAAGGCAAGCTGGGGAGACTAAAATAAAGGTTCCTAAATATCAAGCAGAAAACACAAAGTCATACTTTTCAGTCCCAATATGTGTAGCTAGAGGGCAGCTCTTCACTTTGCTTCATGCCAGCCTCCTAGATTGCTTGTTTAATTAAAAAAAAAGAAATAAAATTGAGAAATTCAAAAATAAAGAAATTAAATTAAGAAATTAAATAAGAATAGAGACTCTTGAGCACCAAGGGACATTTTACAGGCACATTTGGGCCCATGAGCAGCACAGGGGAGACAGTGGGCATAAGAACAAAGAAGCAATCTTGGATCTGGTAGACCTGTCCTCCTTTGGAGGCTTCATTCATTTTGCCAAACACCCCCCCTCCCTTTTCCAAGTATGTCCTACTCCTTTCCTGGCAGGGTGAAGGAGATTTTGTACCTGCTCCAGGTGTCTAGCCAGGAAAGTTGAACAGAGTATGTTGCCAGAAATGGAAACAAGGTCAAAGTCTTCTGGCCTATTATTACTCTTCTATATTTACAGCATTGGTCCTTAGTAGACAGGTTGGGGGCTACACACAGGAAGGGCCTGGACCTAAGATGGCTTTGTGCCAAAGGCATCCTCAGTTTGGAGAGGATGCCTTTTTAGAGAAGCAAGAAGGAGGAGGGGGAGGGGGAGGGAGAGGAGGAATGGGACCAGCTGCCTGGAGAGGTGGAGGGCTCTCTCATACTAGAGATGTTCAAGGTGAGTCTGGACAGCCATCTGAGTGGGACGGTGTGACGTGGGGTCCTGCAACAGCAGGAGGTTGGACTCGATGGCCTTCATGGCCCCTTCCAGCTCTACTATTCTATGATTCTATGAATTTTAGCAATGTGCACTAACCTCAAGTGATGCGTTCAACATCATATCTAGTTTTGCCCCAAATGTCAAACCAGAAGCCAAAGAAGGGTTTTGTCATCGTCGTCATTGTTGTTTATATGGATATGCCAGGAAGAACTAAGACCCAGTTTTTAGATGGCAGGTTTTGTCTAGAAATTTTCTAGTACGTCCAATGTATCAAAGGGTGGGAAAGCTGAATAAGTCAATACATTTAAGAGTAACTCTGGAAACAGCCCTGGAAATGTTACAAAATCCCATTTTCCTGCTCTTCCATCAAGTGATCAAAAGAATGTGGAACTCAGTAATTATGATTTCTGTTCTAGTAATGGAAGCCAAAGCTCATCATCTGCCTTATGGCAGGCCCCAGGTTCTACAACAAGGGAGTACATATTACCTCCTTTACCAGGATAAATATGTGAGTGGATACAGTACAAACATCTTGATGCCACTATGGAGTTCATATTCTGTCAGTCAAACAGTGAGTGCTCAAATTTATTTACCTTTTCTTGTAAAATGAAATGCTGTATGGAAATAGGGCAACAATTTCTAGCAAAGTTGATTTTTGCTGCAAGATCCAGCAGAGTCATTGTTTCCAGCATCCCGTGCAGGGCGCATGCATCTGCATGTGTTTCCTATAAATAAGGATTTCCTCCTGCCAGGAGCACATGCACATCCAGAACAGTAAACACACCAACCACTTGGACTTAGCTTCAAGTATGGAGCACAGTTGCTACCGTACAGGGAACTGTTGAAGGTGTCTTGCCCAAGAGCCTCAAAGACCTGCTGCTGAAAGCTGTCCTTTGTGGAAAGCGATGTTCAGGCCAGTTCTGCTTTAAGGATAAAGAACTGAAAGACTGTGGTCCATCCACAGTGGACACCTATGCCGGAGGCTAGACAGACAGGGACCTGTGTGAGGGGGAATGCATTTCTGTTTAAATCATAATAATTATTTCTGAATTTGCATCTGTATATGAAAATTGCATGTGCAAATTTGCTCCTTCCTTGGGCCTTTGTGAGGATGCTGCAGGTGCAGGATTGCTGATTCTAGAGATGTTGCATACAGGTGTCTGGCTGACAAGCTGTGGTGCCACCTGTGGTCCAAGGGCAAGGTTGGGAAGCTCAGGTTAGGCTCCAGCATCTCTGCTGCTGGTCCAGCAGATCTGGATGGCGTCCTCTCGTCTGGGTCCAAGGCCTGGGTCCAAAGCTGCTGCTCAAGACAGAGGTTCTTATGTCACTTTGCAGACCGTTTCCATCTCCATATTTTCCTCCTGTACATGGAAGTGGAGAAATTTATCCATCCTTACAAGAAATGACTGGCCAAGTAGGTTGGTCTTTTAAGCAGCTGTGGCACTAAACTATCAACATGGAATGAAAAGTTCAGCTCAAAAAGGACCAACATGTCTTTCATAAGGCCAGCAATATCCTGAGCCAGTCTCACAAACCATAAAGGACATCCAACAGAGACAGTAGTCAGATTTTCTGACGCAAACAAGCCACAATTTAGAGAGGAAACACTAAGATTGTACCTTTGGCTGTTGGGGGACTTTTGAGAGGAAAAACACTCATTTCCTTGAAAGGAAGGATTTGGTTACAGTGAGCATCCCACACACTTCTAGAAACAGAATCTGCTTTTCCCTTTCCCCACTAAAAAGAATGTCAACATCTGTGCTGTTACTTCCACAGGCTCAAAAGTTCCTCCCACTCCTCCTCCTCCTCCTCCTCCTCCTCCACCACCACCACCACCACCACCACCACCACCACCATACAAATTTACTACAAAATTTAAACAACAAATTTAAAAAGATCATTACTTCCTGACAGTTAGGACCCCCAGGGCATGGAATGGGCTTCCACAGGAGGTGGTTGAAGCCCCATCAGTGAGGGAGTTCAAGGATAAGCTGGAAAGGCACCTGGTGGGCATGTCATGAGTAAAGCCAGCTGGAGACAGGGGTCAGACTAGGTGGCCTGGGAGACCCCTTCTGATTCACTCTGTTTCTATGTTTCTATTAGCTAACTCGAGTTAAAACATCAGCTGGAGAAGGCTGGTGAATCCCAGAACCTCCTCTTCCTTCTGCTGCTTTTTCAGCTTGAATCAGTTTTCACAGAACCTGCTTTCTGTTAACAAAAGAGAAAAGAAAATGTGAGCGCAAGTGCAATATGTCATCAGCATTTCTCCATATGTTTGCAATTTGTTTGTTCCTCCGAATTTGCTAATTTTTTCAGATTTGGAATCTTTCTGAAATGGGGTGCTTCATGTGCAAAGGTAGCTCTCCATGCACGGCCCACCCCCTAGTCCTGCCTATGCGTAAACAGGAAGCTGCTGTGAGGCAGGGAGCATGTGCCCTTGGGAGCTCCTGGGCAGCACTGCAGAGCATCCAGGCATTTATTTCCTCAAGAGCAGCTGGAGCCTGGAGGCCCTGGGGGCTTATTCACACCTCCATGAAAACCTCTGCCACACGTGCTGACACGTGACCTGCGCTCTCACTCCATCATGACATCCAACTGAATGTGGAAATGGTCCCCACTGGAAACTGTGGCATTTGGTGCAGCGCTGGGGGAAGTGGAAACTCCATTTGTGGAGCTTGATTCATGTTGGGTCATTCTCAAATTCAGCATATTATTTAATAGCCGCATTCATGAAATGCTCCTGAGTTCTGCATTTGAATCTGGGCTTGTGCTAGTGGAGTCTTTGCTGAATAGAGACAAAAAGGGCATTGAAATTTTAGAGGAACTTCTGAACTTAATAGCATTCACAGCTCTGGTTCAAGGAGTTTGTGGGATCTTTCCTTTTTGTGGCACATTTATATATATTATTTACTTTTATCACGTCCTCAAAAAACAAGAACAACAACCCTGGAAGTGGCTGAGAAATGACCTGGCAGAGCACAGCAACTGATTCTAAATGCTGTAGTTAAAGTCCCACAAAATACAAATTATGCCCCTTGACATGTTGATTACTGCCTCCCTTTTAAAGCAAGCTCTTTTTACCGAAGGCAGGCACTGTCCTTTTCCTCTGAGTCCCGACCTACTGTGCAACCTCAGCTAAACATTACAAGAGACACTGAGTTGTTGTGGCTCTGTTTGCCAGGCTCAGAACCTCGGCCTGGTGTCATTGGCCATCAGATGTGAGAGGGAGGCAAAGCAAATCCACAGTGTAATACCACCATGTTAGAAAGAACAGGGTGGAAAGAGACAAGGAACAGCAAGAGTTCCATATCTCTGGTACCATCTAATTTATTAGATTTATATTCCACTTTTTTTTAAGAACTCGAGGTGGCTTACATCATGCTGCTCCTCCTGCTCTCAATCTTATCCCCGCAAGAACAACCCTGTGAGGTAGGCTGGGCTGAGAGTCTGTGGCTGGCCCAGAGTCACCCAGCTGGCACCATGGCTGAGTGGGGATTAGAACCCAGAACGTCTGAGTCCCAGTCTCGTGCTCTTAACCACTACACCACACTGGCTCCTAGTTTCACCCGGGGAGTCCATTCTTACACATATCTTTTCAGAAATAAGTTCCACTGAATGCCACAGAGCTTTCTCCTATGTGGGTGGACAGAGATTCCTCAGCTTGGTGTTCTTCACATGGTCAGGCTGTATTGTGCCCACCCAGAATGGCCTTGTGTGACACTTGAATTTTTTATTTCTTAAGTCAGAGAGAGCAGCAAGTAGATCTCCAGATGATTCAGATCTCAATTTCCAGCATTCTTAACTATTAGCCATATTGGCAGCTGCTTCTGGGAGTCGAAGTCACAAATATTTAGAAGCCTCCTACCTTCTGTCCATCCGAGTTCTTTTAGCTGTTATTTCAGTGATCAGATGCTTTTTTTTCTTCATTTTTGCCAGTGTTGGTTTCCTTTCTTCCCACTTCATTTGTTACTTGAGGACTTTATATCATGTGTTGTATGCTCAGATAATTTCAACTTCTATTTTTTAAAGTGTGCAACATTTTTTAATGAAACCTGGTGATGGGTATATATCTGAGTGAGGATCATTGTGGTGATTAGCCTGCTGGAATGGGACTTGGGACATCTGGGTTCTAGTGCCCGCTCAGCCATACAATTCACCGGGCCAAACATGAATGCTTGACTCAGCCAACATCACAGGGATGTTGTGAGGATAACATGGGGGGGGGGAGGAGAACCTTGTGAGCTGCCTTGCATTCCTTCCAAGAGGAAGGAAGATGGAGTATAAACATGATGTAATAATGGTTCAGCATAGATTGGTCTTGCAACAAAACAGAACGGTGGCATTGAGAAAATAAAAGGAAACCGGTGATCCGCTAACTATGGCAATTGATGCAAAATGGATATTGGAACAGATCCACAGGTAACAAAGACTATGGACCATTAGAGATGCTACATTGGTACATGTGCATTGGCACTGCTGGCAGTGTGCTGTTTGTGATGTTGTGGTCTTCAGGTTTTGCAGCAATGGTCTGCTGGCTAGTGGTGAAAGCATTTCCTGGCATATCAGGTCCATACAAGGTGGACGTGGCCAGAGGCCGGCTGCAGAGAACAGAAATGCTTCCCGCCATGGGCCAGGGAGGCTACTACTCCAGGGGTGCCTTTCACTGGCCGCTCGCACGAGTGGGGCAGGCAACAGTGTGCCTCCACACAGCTTTCATCATGCCTGCGGAGACAGTCCACTGCTCTGGATTATTCTTATTCTCACTGGCAGCTGGGGTTGCTTCTAAGTGGACTGGGAGTTTCTAGCTGGTGCTATCCTGAAGCCTCTGAGTAGTTCGGCTTTCTTGATTGTTTATGGTTGCATCCAGGGCAGTTTGTCAAATTTCCAAATGTGTCCATGGCACCTAAAATGTACTCACCATTACTCTACCATCCCGTAGTAATAGCAAGAGCACTCATTCCATGTGGATCATTACTCAGCATCCATTCATCAGAATTCATCTTTTATGCATGTATTTCCTGCTTCCTGCTGCAAAAATGACTAATCCCAATTGCATGAATCTAGGAATGTACAGGTTTTATTACAGCCATTCTGTCTGTGTTTCAGGCATCTTTCATTCTGTTATATGTCAATGGCACTGACTTTTTTGTAAATCAGAATTTTGTTGTACTAGTGCCAATTCACATTAGTGCAAATGGGTCCAGGGTAGAAAAAGCAAATGGATTCACTACAGAATCTTCAGTAATCATTACAGAATCATAGAAACCTAAATTCATCTGAAGCCATTGGAGATTTCTCTGACACCCCTATATAAGTCATGATTTTTAAATTGTTATCGCCAAAGGCATTTTGCTCTCACGAAAGCTGCAGGAGGCAAATATATGATCCCAAGTGCCACTACTTTCATCTTTCTGCCATGGCTTTGTATTGGTCCATTGTTCCCTCTTGCCTGTTTTCTACCCATGCATTATCAAATGCTGGAGAACCAAGGAATAAACAGACTGGGGAGCATTTCTATTTCTGGTACTGTCATGATTCATTATAAAAATAGGAAAGGAAAGGAAAGAATCAATGAAAGCTAGGAAATTGCAAAACCTTAGGTTAGCCACGACTGTGGGTGTAATGCTCTCTCTCTCTCTCCCCTCCTGTTCCCCTTCCAGCCGGGACATGTACCTTCCCCTTCTCCTCCCGTTCCAGACGGTCTGCGGCCTGATGTTCGAATCCCCGCATCTCAGAGCCAAAACTGCTCCAGCTACCAGCCAGACCTGAATATCACCCACGGTTTCCTCTATCCTCCCAGTTAGTAGTGCTCTTTATATAGAACAAACAGAACGTTTTAATCAGCTGGATGTGGCTGAGTGTTTAAACATATACATGGCACTGAAAGAACCCACTTGGGATAAGTGTGGCATCCAGGAACAAAATAGAAAATGAGAGAAGATTTCAGTGGTGTTTCTTGTCTGAAAGACAAATGGCTTTGCTATACAGTAGTCCCTGAATTTTGGAACACCAGACCACCAGGCCCTTGGGGCCATAGCCAAATATTTTTGTTGCAGAAGTTTACATTTTCATTGAGTAAGACGATATGAAAGTTCTGCAGGAAAGCTACCACTTAAGGACAAAGCAGACGTTACTTTAAATATGTGTCTAGCAGCTACAGCTTTTTTTTCTTTCTTTCTTTCCATTTTTACTCTACAGGAAGATGTACAAATTTAATTGAATCCGTCCCATCTGTATTTCATGGACTGTCGGGCATTTTTCTTTCTGTCATCTGCTCAGTGACACAATTGGTTTCCCATCCCCAGAGCTTTGTTCTCCTTAAACAAATTTACATTGCCCCCTAGTGCATACTTATACAAATGCTATAATGTGAATTGGTGCTAATTCTCTCCTCCTCCCAGAAGTGAAAAAACAGGTCCACAGGTCTACAGAGTCCTCATGACTTTGAAAAACAGTCTGCTATGGAATCTGCAGGTCAGATTTGTTAAATAAACAAACAATTCAAACCTCGCCTGAATCATTTCTCCAACTTTCCTACTCTACGGTTGGTTCAGTAGGAATTTGAAATTTTCCCTACCACCATGCTTGTGCCTTGTGTAGAATAAAAATGAAAAAGACATGGTTGCTAGACACAGATTTTGGTACATAGAAACCTGGTGTCCAGTATATTTAGCTATTAGAAGGGTTTGTCATCTTTCTTCGAATTCCTTTGGGCCTACCCACACCATTGGTGTAGTTAGACACTTTAGACTCAGAACTTGATGGTGTAATGGGATCTCTTTGCATAGCAATGTGGTTTGCTTACTTCAAAATGGGATAAATCAACCTTGCTAAATTTGCAGGGCATGAACTCAAGGTGTCCATGTATTTTATTGAGTGTGTTTCTGGATGTTTATGCCACTAACCCTGTCTAGGCGATACAGATACCTACCTTCCAATTGTTTTGCCTACCCAGCCAGGACCAACAAAGGTCTGTAATATTTGACCAGGAGTGGGTGTGCCACATGTGCAAGTCATCACTTGATACATGCAGGTAGAAAGTATCCTCAAGCCCCTTGGAGTTTTTTTAGTGAGAAACTTAACAGCTCTGATTTAAAAGTTCATGATTCTTGTTAGATTCTATATATTCATAGCAAACTCAGTCTCCAAGTGTGGTTTCTTATGTAGCCAAAATGACATGCGGCTTACATGAAAAATGGACTTACCAGCAGAGCTGGCAGAAATGCAAGCTATGAGAAAGGCAACAAATCTTTACCCCCCCCCCCAAAAGAGTTTTTTGTGGTGGGGACAGAAACCCAAGACAACCCAGTGAGAACTGAGTATGTTTGGTTGCCATGGAATTCTGACTCTTGGGCAGGGATGGGATATCCTGGGAGTGGAGATATTTAATTGGCTGGAACCCTAAAGAGTTGCATCTACAACCTTCTGCAACATTTAGTGTATCTCTCTCCTACCTCCACCTTTGATCCCATGTTTGCATGTAAGAGCCTTAAATAAAAACATTGACATAATATTTTATTAAGCAAAGATGTAAGTAAACAAAACTGTGTTCTACTTAGTAATAGATACTATTTTCTTTTATAGACATCAGTTCATCTGGTATCGAACAATATGATGCTTTAGTTACCAGCAACATTGTTCCTATGTACAAAGAATTCAAAAGTAAGTTCTGATGGCATCGAAATACATTTTGACACATCATACTTTGCTAAGAGAATTCATGTTTTCATATCCCATATAGATACGTGGCAGTTTGGCACTCTCATGTTCTCACCTGTATGGCCAAGGGAGAGGGGAAGCCACATTGCTTCATCCTTCTAATTATTCCATGGGCTTGATTTATCCTGGACAGGACAGGCACACAGCATCCATGCCCCCTCAATGGTGCAGTGTAGACCATCAGACTGGACTTGAATGAGGAGAGAACATTCTGTCCCCTGAGGTTTCCCTGATTTAAAAAGCAAAGGGCAATTCCCATGTCACAAGGTAATGGGGAAATTCCTTTAAGAATTCACATGTTCCAGCAAAACAGTGGGGATAATCATGCCAACCTGAGCATTAGATAAGTTGAGGCAGCTGCCCCAGGTGGCAAATGCAGAAGGTAGTGAGGGATGGAAAGAGGGAGCTTCCTGCCCCAAGCATCCCCCTTTGCTAGTCCGCTGCCTTCAGACATTCTGGACGATGCTATCTTCATTGACAGGATTCAGCAGCCCCTCTACTCTGCTTTGGAATGGGGGTGGCCATCTTGTCCTTTACCCAGACAGCAAAAATTTAACTCTCGGGCTGACCCTGGGGATAGTTTCCTGGCAGCCAGCCATATCCAAGAAGCTAGCCTTTACTCTTGTTTGCTTCATGAGTATACACACTTTGAAAGGGTTTTTGTTATTGGGCCTGCCTTGAATGGACAGCGAAGGTGTTTACTAAGGATACTGGCTGCCAGGATTGGCCTTGTCGGACAACTCACTGGCCGTGAGCTGCCTGTCTCTCACTGTCTCTGTCACCACTTCTTGTTAACCCAAGCCAGGGCAAGGAAGTTTCCTCTGGCTCTCAGAGTGCTTACTAAGGAGGAAGAAGGCAACTGTCTATGCTCCCAATCTAAACTGGCCGAGTCTTTCCTTCTCCCCTTCCATATCTTAGGATACAATCCTATGCATGTTTGGAAGGAAAAGGCCTGCAGCTTCCAGCATCCCTCAGCCAAGCATCCTGGCTGGGGATTGCTGAGCAATGTCAATTTTTTTCCCCTGCCTATCAGGGAAAAATGACACAAATGGTCCTAGCATTATGGTGCTGATGAACAGGGAATAAAACATTTCCTAAGTTTGCAATGCCTAGGAGAAGGAAGCAAACCCAATAATTGGTTTTGTTCATTTCTAAGAATCTCAGAAGCCCTACTTTTGAATTAAACATGAACCAGAATTTTAGTAACTGGAGCTTGTCAACCCAAAATGAAGGAAAATGGTTTCCCCCATAGCTGATTCTCTCTGTCTTGCTGGTCTCCAAAATACAGGATTATGGGATTACGTTCATGATACTCTGCTTCCAAAATATGCTGAGGAGAGGAATGGACTAAATGTGATCAGTGGGCCTATTTTTGATTACAATAGTGATGGACACTTTGATCCGCTTGCTATCATTACAGAGTAAGTAAAGAAAAAATAACCAGTTCAAAGGTAAAGTATGGCCTTTAATGTTTAAAAACGTATTTTATATCATCTGTACTACACTCTTCAGAGAGTCTTACAGTCTCCCATCCAGGCACCCCCCGGATCCAGATGCTCAGCTTTTGCAGTCAGATGGATTCAGGCAACTAGCAAACTGGGCTGCTAGATCTTGGGGGGATCCTCTATGGATAAAAGAGGGCTTTCCCTGCACACAGCCACCCTCCATGAGCATAGCATGACAGCAATGGCGACAGAGGAGAGTGTCGCTAGCCCTCGTTCTGGTTCTTCCTCCCCATACGTGAGCCGCCCCGAGGCTTTGCTGTGATGGGGGCGGCATAGGAATGTTTTAAATAAATAAAATAAATAAATAAATATGTAGAGTGTCACCAAACAAATGAAAAGGGCTTCTGTGTTAGCCAGGTGACTTCGTATCGATCTAAAATTGCATACATATTTCTAAGCTTCGTAGCTTCTTGGATGGTAGTGTGAACCTCAACCACTCAAAATGGTTTCTGTAAAAATGAGGTGTTACGAATCCTGCATTTATGTCTGGCTCATGTGTTATGCTGATCTTCCCTCCATTCTGCTCAGTGCTGTTGCTTGAGCTCACCAATGACAATGGAAATGGGAGGATGAAAGAAGTTGGAATGTTTCCCTATCCTCTCCCCTCCCCTCCCCTCCCCTCCTCTCCTCAGAAGGTTACATCCTCTAGCATTTGATGTGCAAAATGGTTTTCTGCATAAGGCTTTTATTGTAAGCACATGATTTTTAAAATTAGTATTAAGACTGCAAGGGCTGTAGACATCTCTGTTGGCTTCCAGGGCTTCTCCTGTATTTTGCAACCATTTTTGTGCTATTTTTTTAGAATAAGGATAATGAGTTCTTTTGTAAATCCACAGTGGCCCTGCACCTCGTTGTTGAGTAACAGAATGTATAGGAGGGTGGGGAAAGGAAAAACTCTGGAAACAAGCCACATGTAAGGGATGCATTCTTGCTCCAAAAAGGAAAATGGAAGAGGCATCAGTAAGGGCTAGGTTAAATGCCTTATGCAGATAAAGAAGCCTCAAGCAGAGTGATGTTGGGTAGACAGAGATGAGGAAGGAGAGGGAAAAAGAGAGGGAACAGCAGAGATCCTGGCTACAGAGCCATTGCAGAGGAGCAGGTGGCTGTGGTGGTGATGGAGAGATGTACAAAGAAGCCACTTCCACTGCATCAACCCCTCAAATTTATTGCTTCCCAGAAGAATCTTCTCTTTCATAATTGTTTTCCAACTCTTGCTCATAACTGCCAATCTTACTTTAAGTTCCACTGATTTTAATGGATCTCCTCTACTTGGAACTAAATCTGGATCCAACCCCATATTATAATGTACAGATATCTCTATAGCGCTCTTTAATAAATAAAAAATCAGAGTGTTTTACAAGGCTTTTGTATGTGTGAAACCTAGGGCATTTAATGGAATAAATATCTTAGCTTGAGCAGTCTCAGGAGAAAAAAATATATAATCAAAAGTATTATCTATGAAATGTTAGCTTGTTTTTTGAATTCATGGAATGTATTTACTAAAAACGGTATCAAAATGGATTCAGTAAATACTTGAGAATCAAATGCATGGCTGCTGTGACAGGACGCCTCTACTGTGGAGACATATTTATGTAGTGGGAACATGAATGATGCAGGAAAAAAATTCTAGAGTAGTGGTCTAGTCTAATTGAAATAAATGGATAACATATTATATGCTTCGAATGCCATAGGATGGGCTGGCAAGGAAAAGGGAATGCTGATGACTGAAGCAGCGGGAGATGAATTATCTGTAGGGGGTACAAAAGGAGTCAAGGAAGCAAAATACCAGCTTTACTCATATGCGGCCTTTTGGCCATGCAAATAGGTGCTTCGAGTTCTGTAGTGTTGGTGTTTTGAGATTTGCTCTCATCTAGGCTAGACATGATGCCACAGTTTTCAAGGATGGTTTGGGCTGAGGGAAAGAATTTCTGCCACAGTGTAGGATGGGCTGAGATGACAGACTCGAGCTTCCTTCCAGTCAAAGGGCTTTAATGTCTGTCAGCCACATGATGCTGTTTACAAGCTTCCATAAACATGTCAAAATCTGAACAAAATTAGTCACAGTAAGATAACCTGATCCACTGATGGGATGGAGAGCGGACACATTTGTATTAGGGGCAATATTTGACTGGATGTATGTGACAGTTTTAAGGGGGAAAAAACAGCGGGATACCCTAATTCCAGGAGCATCCAAATTTAGCTCTCATGGTTCCTCTATTTTTTAAATACTTGTAAAATATTAATTCAATTTCAGGTATTAAAAACCTGAAATTAAAATACTTATTTTTGGAGAGTTCGGCCTGACACTTGGTGTCTTTAATTCGCAACTGAATGCCAGTTACTCGAACTGAAAATTGCTGGTTAGGTGAGTCCAATCTTCTTATATAACACTGTTTCCCATCGACTGCCAAATATGGAGTTGGTTTTTCCAGGGGACAGAAGCTTGAGAGGGAAGTGAAACGTGAGCACTGGAGACCAGCACAAAGCCCACCATAGAGTAAGGAAAGAAAAGGATGGGGTTGGGAAAGAAGAAGGGCAAGTTTCAGCAATGTGATTGCATGCTCACCATGGCAGGCTGGCCGCAGCTCCTTTTAGAGCAGTTTTTTGTGTGGTGCAGGGAGTTGCAGGGATGATAGCATAATTAGAAACACAGAAACAGAGCAATTCGGAAGAGGCTTCCAGGGCCATCTAGTCTGACTTCTGGATCCAGGTGGCTCCACTCATGAAATACCTACCATGTTCGTTAGAAATTACTCCATCTCCCTTCTAGCCAGTGGATCACCCACAGGAACTTACTATCCAAGCCAATACCTTGCAATATTGCCACAAAGGAGGTCAGCTTTCCCCAGTTTAGTGCCCTTCAGATGGTTTGATTTCAACTCCCATCAGCCCTAGCCAGCATGGTCAGTTGTGGCAAATGCTGCAGGTTGTCATCCAAAATGTTGGAGAACATTTGAGGTTGCGGAGAAGGTATTCATAATTTCATTGAGCAGAGTGGTGTCAATTTTGTTCTCTTCAGTCTAGACTTTGGTGACCAGCCCTTGACTGATGTTCTTTTGTAGGTATGTGGCCAACACAAATATTCCAATCCCAACCCATTACTTTATTGTGCTGACTAGCTGTGAGAACCGGTCCCAAACCCCAGTGAATTGCTCAGGCTCACTGGATGTTCAGCCTTTTATTCTTCCTCATCGACCTGACAACACCGAGAGCTGTGGTGTAAGTACAACTCCATCCTCTTCAGACAGCCCTGCTCTTGTTACTAGTTATGTGACTTACACAAGTTTTTTTCCAATGGAATACCTAGCCTAATGGATAATTACAGATGACTGGCATTGGGCAGCAAATACTTTGGAACACATGGCACGGTAATCAGACAAGATGCCGCCTCTGTTTTTGTTGTTTTCTGAAATATCCCCATCCCTTTTCTGAAAGAGGAGGAATAAAAAGGCAAATGGAAGCCGGATAAGAAGCTGAGGGAGAAGCCTGTGGCCCCCAGACAGTGTCAGGGGCATGGCATAGGTTGAGTTCACAGGTCTGAGGTTGGAACCTGCTTTCTGATCTTGAAGCTGGGAATGCATGCCTTGACCACCCTGACAGCTGACCTGGCTGGCTGCCATGAAGAAGGGGGTGAAGGAGGCATTCTGATCAGTGGGGAATGACTTTCAGCTGTCCCATCTGTCTTGCTAGAGATGACCAAAAGAGCTTAGTTTGTTTATTAGTCCTTAAGCACCATAGCTCAGTATCCTGCTCAGAGCAAGGACAATTAGATATGAAGAAACGCAAACAAGCTCCATGAGCAAGCTCCAGCAATTAGCAAAGAAAAATCATTAAAGGCTATGATAGACTGAAATTCCTTACTCTGCTTTCAAGCTCCTTTGCTGCCACTTAACACAAATTCAATTGGCATTGAATCCAATTATTTATTCTTGAACTTTATGCTGATTTACTTTTCCAGGAAAATGTTCCCGCATACCTCTGGGCTGAAGAAAGAATACAGGCTCATGCAGCACGTGTCCGTGATGTGGAGCTTCTAACGGGTCTCGATTTTTACCAGGGGAGTGGCAAGCCTCTCCCAGAAATCCTGCAACTGAAGACATTTCTGCCAACATTTGAAACTCTTATTTACTGAGTGTGTGTGATTTATTAGGAAACTTACATCCTGGATGCTGTCAGGCATAAAGGAATCTACATCCTGGATGTTAGCACTACTAATCAAAAGACATTGCTCAATGATTCAGTATTTCCCTCCATAACAGATCTTTTGTGGAAAGAAAAGGGGAGTGAAGATCACTGTGAAAACACAGGAGGGCTACATACTGAATACAGTGTTGTCTGGACTACCCCATAAAATCTTGTGAATGAGGCAGCTAAATTAGTTCCTTCTTTGTGCAAGACCCCCTGGAAGCATAACTCAGTTACAGACCTTCATTTCATTAAGACAACAAGAAGAAAAACCCTCCCTCAATTTTCTCCAAATTGCATATGCTTCACTCTTTGCTGCAATCCTTTTCCCTGCCCCACCACCCCCATTTTCATGATACAAGGACTTCAGGCTTCAATTTTAATATACTGTATAAACAAATGGCATGAGAGAATGATTGTAAAGCACTCTGAAAAATAAAAAGCAGCCAGAAGTTATGAAAACTGCAATACTTCCAGGCAGCTATCATCAGTCACCATCTCCATCGACTTCTATCCTAAGATAAGTTAACTCAAGATTTTTCATGGAAGGAAGTCTCACATGCCCTGTGGGTGCACCCAAATGCCTCTTCAGAATGCCAGGGGCCCTTCCTGGAATGTGACTCCTGCCGTGGGAAAGATCAGGAAACGTTCCTTCCATGACCTTACCTTATCTTAGGGTTCTCTTGCACAGCTCATTCAGATCATGGTTGATGTTAAATATATTTTCCAAGCTCAGTTCTGCACCCTTACAAGATGCAATGCACATTGACTTATGCATTCTCATCAAACTGCATTGTTGATGGGAACAGGAATGGTGATCTCCCACACCAAGACTCGGCTGCAGGGAAAATTGTTATTACTTTGCATTCCACCAGCTCAGAAGGGGTTTCCCAGCTAAATGCTGCTTGGCTACCAGCTGGTTGCATCAACAGTCATTCCAATCATTCCAATCTCCCTGTAAGTTTCTTTTCAGGCCTACATGGGCAGATCACTGCACAGTGTAACCTTTCCCTATCCGAACAGTTGATTGTCCACAGGTCTAATAGATTTGTTTCTTGAGCTTCTTTTCCCAGCTTTTCTCACCAGTGAACGTTCCTTCAAGACATCCTCTCGATAAGGGACAACTGCAGAGGACCTACTATCACCTCAATGAGCCTGTCCATATTTAGTTTTGACTTTGGAAAGCAGGAAGTTGGAAAATAAAGACATTCCTAATGAACCTGAGCAGACTACATTTTATTATTTCTTGTACATTCTGTATATCTTTCCTTTTTTCCTGCAAGGTTCTTAAGGTGGGTTATCTAATCCTCATCCTCATCATTATTGTATCCTCATAACAACCCTGTGATATAGGTTTATCAGAGCATCGGTAACTGGCCCAAAGTCACCCACTGAGCTTTCTGGCTGAATGGGGACTAGAACCTGGATCTCCTGAGTCCCAGTTCTGTGCTCTTAAACACTGCCCCACACTGGCTTTGGCAGTCCATTTAGTCTAGTCCGATCTGCTAGCAGTCAAAAGCATCTGGACTGCACCAGGTTAGGGAAGGCTGAACTGCACAATCCACTGCTGCACAATTTATTCTTCTGAGGACAGACTCTTATAGTGGAGTCTTCTATTTTCTCAAGTAAAACAACTGCAGATGGCCACAGATTCAGAGACTGGCTGGCAGGGGAAGGGGAGAAGGGCAAGAGTGTGGAGGATCAGTTTAACCATTTCTCTTCCATTCATTTATCTCCTTAAAATACTTTCTTTCGTCGGTTACCCCCCCCCCCCCCAGGAAAAAAGGATACAGGGACACTCATCTTTTTTATTTTGGCAAGTGTGAAAGGAAGCAAGGATGTATTTTTGAGAGGAATCATGGGAAACGAAATAGTTAAGCTGCCTAACCCCATTCTACCTTTCCACTCAATCTGAAGTTACTCACGGGTGCTGTATCTGACAAAGGAATAGCTGGCTGCAGTATGCTGGCAAATGTAGGTCCTTTTCTGTCTAAGTATGTATAGGATGGGGCCTTAACTGTTTTAAAACTCTTAGGGTTATATGCCTAGTCTTTGGCTCCAATATTTTGTCTGTACATGCATGTGTGTATGTTTTGATTGAAGAAGTAAACATGTTGTGCCATAAAATTAATTTCACAAATAATACTTTTTATTACTACTTTTGCAAATAGTATCTACCCACAAACACCTGATAATCCAGAATGTCTCAGTAGTATCAACGTAAGTTAACTTGCAGTGACTCATAATGGCATAGTGATGTGTGATTTCAGTGACAAACCTATATGGTTCTACCTAGAAGTAAGGCCTATTGAATTCCCTGGGGTTTACTCTCAGGTATAGACTCTGACTTCCCAGAGTTTTGTGTTTGTTTATGCAGCTATTACAGCTTTGTCTCCTTTCATCTAGAATGGAAGTCAAAAGTGCAGTAAGGAAACACTATGGAAACATTAGAGTGGAAATAAAAATCATGTTTAAAAGGCTTTTAAGATTCATCAGTGGTGACTATTCAGCTACTTAGAATGAAGGAGTGGCTGTGTCAGACTCCAGGGATTTCACATACAGAGACAGATGAGCAGAGCCAAGAAGCTTGGCCGTATGTCCCTGAGGAGGGTTCATAAGAGGGCATCTTCAGAAGACCAGGGAGGTGGACACAAAGTATAGCTTCATAAGCAACCAAGAGTGTTGTGGCTCTCTAAAGACTAACGTTTAGCCAAAATGTTTTGCAGGCTAGAAGCATTGTTAACGTCAAAGCAGCCCATCGTCATGTTGGCTCACCTGCTCGGTTTGGGACTGTTTTTATTCTGTTGCTATGGTTTTTTCAGCTCACTTTTCCATGTATTCCTTTTATTCTACTTGTGGCCTGGGTGAAATATTTATGATTGAAAGCTGCCTTGAGTGCCACTTTTTGGGGTGGCAGTGGCAGAAAAGCAGGCTAGAAATCAATTAAACAAAGAAGCAACATTGTTACCAGCAGCATGTGGGAATATTTAATGTTCTGTTCAGTTTGCCGTTTTTGCATTTCCCGCTAATCAATGCTTACAATTTCTTCCACCTGACACCACTGCATGTATTGGTTGTCCACAGGTGGACATACCTGTCGTCATAGGATAACACTGCATGCACCTGGCTGTAGTCCACAAAATACCGTAGCACAATTATGCCATAATAAAAAGATTAAACTTTTTAAAGGTGCCACAAATAGTAGTGACATTCTCAACAAACTGAGATGTGAAGCAACACTTCAAAAATAGCCATATTTATACTTGGATTGAGAGCCAGGTCTCCCTGAGGTTTATAGGGCCTGTGATGGTTTTTATGCAGCTGTTTCATTGTTCAGGAGAAAAACACATGCAGGGGATGATAATCCTTGCCTTCCAGTAAAAAAGAATATGTTTATCCAGGGCTTTTTTTTTGTCATAGAACGCACCGGAACGGCATCATTAACATAGTGCCTGAGGGCTGCTTTTGTGTCCGTGCTGCTAGTGAGTGAGTGCTTACTGCCAGCGGCGACCATTATGTTTATGTATGTGTAGAGTGACTGGCTTTATGTGTGTGTAGAATGACAGACTTTACACTAAAAAATTTTTTTAGTGTAAAAGTGTGACCCCAAGATGTGAGTTCCGGCACCGTTTTTTTTTTTTTTTACAAAAAAAGCACTGTGTTTATCTACAAAAAATAATTTATTTTTTACATTTATAGCCTGCTTTTTTTTCCTTCAAGGACCTCAAAGTAGCCTACATAACCCCCTCCTCTCATTTTATCCTCACAACAACCCTGTGAGGTAGGTTAGGCTGAGTCAGCAACTGGCTCAAAGTCACCCAGTGAACTTCGTGGACAAGTGGGGACTAGAACCTGGATCTCTCAGATCCCAGTCCAACATTTTAACCTCTATACTATACTGGCACACATAACATATAATTTGAGCATCTGATATATGCTGTACTGTTTTATGCTGTACTGCATAGGATTGCAGCCTCACTTCTGATATCCTTTTCCAATTATGCCTATCTTGGTAATTAATATTGAAAAAAAATTACAATCCTTGTCCATATACTATGAAGACCTTCCTTAGAAATACAATAAAGCAAAAATACTGCTGTGAGAGAGAACAAAGTAGAGTGGAAATTAAAAAAAATCAATCCAACCAACAGGGTAAGATGGTTGCAACATTAAGTTACACAGTAACAGTGAATAGTTTTTTAGGAATGGTGACATGGATTTAATGAAAACCATATAGGAGAAGTTGTTGCACTATCTGTTTGAAACTGGGTAAACAGTTTGTTTCCACACATCCACTTCTGTGGCCCCCAAACAAGTGCCAAGAGAAACTGTGTAGGTTTTTTAAACAGGCCCCCACAATTCCTCCTTGCCATTAACTTCTTTGTTCACAGAGGCCTCTCTGGCAGGGATAAACAGGGACCACTCTGTGTTTGGGAGGCATCCCAGTGACTGCCCAACAGTTGCTCATTTTCCCAACAGCTGTTTTTTCCAGTGAAGTGAAGCTGGAAATGCTTTCTCAAGATCGTTCTGTACTGTTTTATCTTCTGTAAAATGGGGTTGAAAAAAATTACAAGAGGAACTAGTGCTTGGACAGAAACAGTTTATATATCAGAAATGTGATGGTGACATTATATGCAATGACTCTTAATTATGGCAATGTCTAAAAACTACAACATGTTCCCATGGCTATAGAAAGTCATTTATGTATAATTGGATTCACTGGTGTATGTCTGCTAATCTGTTACTGGTTTGTATTCATTTAAGAAAAGAAGATTCAAGCAACCTATGGAGCAAGTTAAACTGATAGAGGATAAAGACATGAGATATAAAGATAAGCTGCAAGTTGGCATCGTAACTCATCTTTGCCACTGGAGTTGTTCACAGCATCTCTAAAATCTAACAGGGGAAAAGTAGATGGAGCAGGGTGTGATCTGATATGGGTACTGGCCTCACAACTCTGCACAAACTAATTCACATTTATTTAGGTAAGTAAGTAAGTAAGTAAGTAAATACATAAATATTGGGATTTGTTTAAAATTTTCAGGAGACCATGTCAGCCAATTAATTTATCACCCAAACAATCGCCAATGAAATAGATTTTTCAATACATGTGCACCCTAGTGCAGAAAACTGATGTGTTCAAAGCATGGTGCTAGAGCAGAGCTTTGCAGATATAATGGACCAACAAAAAGATGACCGAGTAGATCCTTGATCAAATCAATTTTCTTGAACTTTCCTGGAAGCAAAAATGATGAAACTGAAGCTGAACCACTTTGTGCATATCATGAGTTGGCCAGGATCACTAGAGAAGACAGTAATGCCAGGAAAAGTCAAAGGCAGAAAAAGAAAGCTAACTAGGAGATGGATCAATTCCATCAAGGCAACCACAGTCTTGAGTTTACAAGAATTGAGCAGGGCTGTCAAGAACAAGACATTTTGGAAGGTGTTCATGCAGAAGGTCACCCTAAGCTGGAGATGACTTCATGACATGGAATAGCAACACATGTTTCTCTCTGCCGACCTATCTTCTGTGTTGTACATACAGTGTTTTGGTTAATTTGGAATGGGTATGAGACTGGTTTACTCTTGCCAGAACTGAGTCTAGTTCATGTAGAGGGCTTTTGAAATTAGTCTGAGGACCACATGAAATTAGGTCGAATACTGCAGGTTGCCCAGCCTGATATAGACCAAACTAATTTTATTTCATTTTTCTACAAGTGCAAAAAGATTGCCATTTTCTTGCTTTGGCTCTGCTAGAAAACAAAAGGCTACCAGCACAAGCCTGGCTGATGTACAAGGATTAAAAAACAAACACACACTGCAATCTTAGGTACCTTTACCCAAGTTCAAGCCCAACTACACTTGGTGGGGCTTTCTCCAAGGCAAGTAAGCAAAGCATCGGTGCCATGTTCCATCGACAGAAACAGATAAGAGCTAACATTCTTTAGAGCAATATTAGATTTTTATAGGTTTAGAAACTTTTAATGTTTTTGGAAAGGAAAACTAAACCTTGCTGTCATGCAAAGTGTTGAAACGTCATTCTTTCTAGTTGAAGTTCTCAGAAAATTTGGACATGGATTTTGCATATGTATTGCTTGGCCATTGTCCCAGTAACAGTGGTTTTCTAAATACTGTTTTAGCTACTTCTAGTCAATTAGAACCACATCATGACACATGCATTCAGTCCAAAACTTTGCAAAATATCTTCTGAAATATCTT